TTTTTTCACCATAAAAATATAGCATCCATTTGAGAAGGTGCATAAAGCCTTTGTTCCATACCTTTACCAAAGTAATTGCAAAAACTGATGGGTATCTAGGACTGCTCTAAAACAAATTATATGATTTAGTAGTAAAAAAGAAATTGAAATACTTATAAAATCTTCAAATTTACCATGTGCTAATAAAAAGGAAATTATACTCTCACTAACCAAACCTTCCAAGACAAGTAAAAGTTGACCATTTTGATCTACAAATGGCTACGTCACATCATGGATTTACTCCTCTAGCCTGAATTAATTTTTTCAAATTTTATGCATAAAAATAAATGAAAATATTGCACTTGATTGATAGTTCTTGCTTCCAACTTAACTTCAACAGAAACATCATAGAGATCAATATATCCCCTGAACCAATGCTGGAATATTTCTTGGGTTCGTAAGTGTTGAATTCCCAAAGCTAACATTTCACAAGTTGGTATAAAAACTAATAAAAAGATACAAAGCAAAACAAAGATGAAAGTAAAGATTACCTTGTAGCCTGCTCACCTCCCTCTGGATTGGAAGCAAATTCGATTAATAGTGAACTGGGCTAAAGCACTATGATTATCTTGATGTGAAGATAACGTTTATGCCTACAGAATCCTACTAGAATTCAAAAACAACAAAAAAAGATATCGAAAGCCAAATGTTCTCTTACGTGGTGGTCTACTCTATAACTCAGTTCTTGAATAATTAAGATTGATAAACTCTAGAAACTAATCAAAAAGTTAACACAGAGGAATGAAGCAAAAAATTAAGTAAACTTAACTCCTTTGGATAAAGAGATGGAGAGGAGACAATTTTGGTTGATATTGAACTAGGTGCTCTACTCATCCTAAATTGTTTTGCTTTTTGATGATTTAATTAAAAAAGAGCAATAAGTTCTAGAAACCAATAAATACTTTTAAACACAGAAGAATGAAGTAAAGATTTAAATTCATTCACCTCCTTTAGATGGAAAGATGGAGAAGAGACAACTTCAATTGATAGTGAACTGGGCTTAGCATGCTATTGATTAATTGTTCAGCTGCATCATAAATTAATAAATTGTATTAAGATTTAAAAATGAAAATAAAAAATCTTGAAAGCAAAATGTTTTTTTACCTAGTCCTTTACTCATCCCAAATTATTTTGCTCTTAAATGATTTAGCTAAACAAAAGTGATAAACTTTAGAAACCAACAAACACAAAAGAATGAAGTAAAGATTTAAGCTTGCTCACCTCCTTTGAATAGAGAGATTAAAAGAAGATAATTTTGGTTGATATTGAACCGGGCTCAATGCATCTCACTATTGATTAATTGTTTAGTTGCATCACAAATTGATAAATTGTGTTAAGATTTCAAAATAAAAACAAAATATTTTAAATTCAAATGTTCTATTACCTAGTGCTTTGCTCATCTCAAATTATTCTACTCTTTGGTGATTTAGCTAAAGAAGAGTTTTGATTTTAAGGTCTTTTGTTTTTGTTTTTAAATCCTAACATAATTTATTATTTCGTCATGCACTTGAACAATTAATCAATAGTGATACGTGTTGAGCCCAATTCATTATCAACCAAAGTTGTCTCCTTTCCATCTCTTCATCCAAAGGAAGTGAGTGGGTTTAAATCTTTTCTTCATTCTTTTATGTTTAAAAACCTTCATTAGCCTTTAGAGCTTATTGCTCTTTTTTAACTAAATCATCTAAGAGTAAAATAATTTAAAACAAACAAAACACTATATAAGAGAATATTTTTCTTTCAAGATCTTTTGTTTTCATTTGAAATCCTAACACAATTTATCAATTTGTGATGCAACTGAATGACTAATTAATAGTGAAGTGCATTGAGCGCGATTCAATATCAACTAAAATTATCTCCTCTCCATTTCTCCATTTAAAGGGGGTGAGTGGGCTTAAATATTTGCTTCATTCCTCTATGTTTAAAAGTTTTCCCTAGTTTCTAAAGCTTATCACTCTTCTTTAGCTAAATCGTTTAAGAGCAAAACAATTTAGGACAAACATAGCACCAAGTAATAAAACAAAAAATCAATATTTAAACATAGAGGAATGAAACAAAAATTTAAGCCTACTCACCTCCTTTGGATAGAAAGATAGAAAGGAAACGACTTTGGTTGATAGTGAACTAAGTTGAGTGTGCCTCACTATTGATTAGTTGTTCAATTGCATCACAAGTTGATAAATTGTGTTAGAATTTAAAAACAAAAATAAATGATCTTGAAAAATAAATGTGCTCTTACCTAGTGCCTTGTTCGTCCTAAATTATTCTACTTTTGGATGATTTAACTAAAGAAGAGCAATAAGCTCTAAAAACCAACAAAAACTTTTAAGCACGAAAGAATGAAGCAAAGATTTAAACTTGTTCACCTCCTCTAAATTGAGAGATGGAGAAGAAACAACTTTGGTTGATAATGAATTAGGCTTAATGCGCCTCACTATTGATTAATTGTTCAATTGCATCACAAGTTGATAAATTATGTTAGGATTTAAAAATGAAAACAAATGATTTTTTAAAAAAAATATGCTCTTATCTGGTGCCTTGTTCGTCCCAAATTGTTGTGCTCTTGGATGATTTAGGTAAAGAAAAATAATAAACTCTAAAAACCAACAAAGGTTTTTAAACATAGAGGAATAAAACAAAGATTTAATCCCTCTCACCTATTTTGGATGGAGAGATGAAGAAGAAACAACTTTGATTGATAGTGAACTGAGCTCAGTGCACATCACTATTGATTAGTCATTTAGCTGCATCACAAGTTAATAAATTGTGTTAAGATTTTAAAATAAAAATAAAATATCTTTAAGGCAAAATGTTTTATTACCTAGTGCTTTGCTTATCCCAAATTGTTTTACTCTTCATTGATTTAGCTAAAGAAGAACAATAAATTTTGGAAATTAGTGAAGGCTTTTAAACATAGAGGAATGAAGTAAAGATTTAAGCTTACTCACCTCCTTTGCAAAAAGAGATGGAGAGGAGAAAATTTTGGTTAATAGTGAACCAGGCTCAATGCACCTCAGTATTGATTTATTGTTTAATTCTATCACAAATTGATAAATTGTGTTAGGATTTTAAAATGAAAACAAAAGATCTTGAAAGTAGAATATTCTTTTATATAATGCTCTATTTGACCCAAATTATTCTACTTTTAAATGATTTAGCTAAAGAAGAGCAATAAACTTTAGAAACTAATGAAGGCTTTGAAACATAAAAGAATGAAGTAAAGATTCAAGCCTACTCACCTCATTTGGATGGAGAGATGGAAAAGAGATAATTTTGGCTGATAGTGAATTGGGTTCAACACGTCTCCTTATTAATTAGTTATTTAGATGCATGACAAGTTGATAAATTATGTTAGGATTTAAAAACAAAAACAAAAGATCTTGAAAGCAAAATATTCTCTTATATGGTGCTTTGTTTGACTCAAATTATTGTGCTCTTAGATGATTTACCTAAAGAAGAGCGATAAACTCTGGAAACCAGAGAAGGCTTTTAAACACATAAGAATGAAATAAAAATTTAAACCCACTCACTTCCTTTAGATTGAGAGATGGAGTGAAGACAACTTTGGTTAATAGTGAATTAGGCTCAATATGCCTTATCGATTAATCATTCAGTTGCATCATAAGTTGATAAATTGTGTTAAGATTTAAAAACAAAAACAAAAGATCTTGAAAATAAAATGTTATTTTATCTAGTGCTCTACTCATCCCAAATTGTTTTACTCTTGGATGATTTAGCTAAATAAAAATGATAAGCTCTAGAAACCAAGAAAGGTTTTTAAACATAGAGAAATGAAACAAAGATTTAAGCATGCTCACCTATTCTAGATAGAAAGATGGAAGAGATAATTTCAATTAATATTGAACCAAACTCAATATGCCTCACTATTGATTATTTATTCAATTGCATCATAAGTTGATAAATTGTGTTAAGATTTAAAAATGAAAATAAAAGATTTTGAAATGAAAATGTTCTATTACCTAGTGCTCAACTTGTCCCAAATTGTTTTAATCTTAGGTGATTTAGCTAAAGAAGAGTGATAAACTCTAAAAATCAATAAAAGCTTTTAAACACAGAGGAATGAAATAAAGATTTAAGCTTGCTCACCTTCTTTGGATAGAGAGATAAAAAGGAAATAACTTCAGTTAATAATGAATTGGGCTCAATGCATCTCACTACTAACTTAATGCATAGGCCAATTGCATCACAAGTTTAAAGGAAATAACTTCAGTTGATAGTGAATTGAGCTCAATGCATCTCACTACTAACTTAATGCACAAGCCAATTGCATCACAAGTTTATGAATGGCGAGGAATAAAAAAAAATGATCTTACCTCACAAGATACCCACAACAATTGTTCAGCTCTTAGATGCTTCTAGAGCTCACCGAGATCCTAGAAGTGGTCGAAATAAAACACCAGTAGGAACGAAAGAAAAGATCTTACCTTTCAGCCCCGCTCTAGAAGAAAGCAACTTCCCAATGCAAGAGAGATTGCAAACTCAGCTACTCTTGATCAATTGTATGTGCCTTACTGCTCTAGTGTAAGTTCTCAATACGTTAGCAATGCAGGCCACTGTGATCATCTCGATGGAAAGAGAGTGACTCCCCGGTGTTGAAGCACTCCCCTTGTAGTTCGATGAGAAAGAAAATGCTGTGTGCTATACAAGAAAGACCGGTGTACGAAAATACATGTTGCGTGTGTGTACATACTATGGCATATAATTTGTAAAAGCGTGAAAAAATCGTGTCTAAAATTTACACACAAAAACTGTATATGGCTATAATCTATTGGTGAATTATCCAATGTCCATGAGTTGGAGCATGATTCATTGTTTGAGAAGGATTTTACCTAAGGGGAGATTGGAACGTGGGAATTTCTAGACTTAAGCCGTAGCGTGAAATTTTTACTCTGTCGTCCTAGCTTGACACGTGTTTTGAATACTGTTAAAGTTTTATTAAATATAAGAGTAAATTTAAGTATTCGATTCGAGTCGCGTTAACCCTTTGTCAAAGTGGCAATGGCGGTGTGCTCCATCTCTCCTCCACCGGTGGCGGTGATCCATCGCGGCGCAGGCAAGTCTCACACGACCGCCGCTGGGAGCAGCGGCAGGAGCGTGGATTGGGCCGCTGTTAGGTTTCATCCATCCCGCACGGCGATGCACATCGCATTTGATTCCATCCATTCCGGTAAGCGGCGATGCAAGAAAAATCAGGGTTTATGCTGGAAATCCTTGGCAGGGAGCACCAGTGGCGAGCAAGACCCAACGCGGAGTTTAGTCCCATTGAGCAATCCTTTCCAACCCCTCTCTCAGGTAAAATTTTGGAGTTCTTTCATCATCCCTTGGGCAGATTTAAATCTTTTTCTTCTTTCACAGGAGATGGCGATGGGATTGGTTCTCCAAGCCGCTAGCGGCAAAGGCTGGACGACTGACTCGGGTTTGGAAGGCCCGGCATTTACCTCCAAAGAAAACTCGAGCCTCTCGGAGGAGAACCAGTGGCCTCTTCTAAGCAAATCCCCACGACGAAGAATGAGAGTGGCGTTTACTTGCAACGTTTGTGGAGCGCGAACTATGAGAGCTATCAATCCTCACGCTTACACAGATGGAACAGTCTTCGTCCAGGTAGAAACTCTTCCATTTATTCCATCTTTCCTCTCCGCAAACACGCAAGCTTCTCTTCGTGCAGTGTAAAGGATGCAACGTTTTCCACAAGCTCGTTGATAACCTCAATCTCTTCTACGAGTGGGATGGCCGCTTGTACAAATCCAACACCAAGTCTATTCCTCCCACTGGAAAGTTCTACCGGTTTTTGCACACCGACGACGAGGTTGCGGCACCACCACCGTCGCAAGAAGATTTCTAGCTGTGGCCCCTGATGTAAATACTTCGACGAGAAAACCAAGAGAGAAAAATTTCCCATAGAAAAAGGTACATACTTGGGTGAAAAGTTAGCTGCCCGCCGAAGCTGTTATGACTAACCCAGCTGATGAAGCATCCGCGAGTCTCTCGTGTTCCTTGTTAAGCATCTGCACAGCAAGAGAAATATATTGTAAAGCTTTTCTCCTTTCAATAACGATACCTTGTTGTTGATGAGATTGTGTAGAGCGATGACGCTTCGGATAAGAGAAGAGAGATAGATGACGAGCATCATGTCGTTCGTCTTGACTGGAAAAATTTGACACGGAGCTTAGCTAAGAGAGAAAACTTTGGCCAAACGCGTGAAATCTTACCAACAAAAGATCTGAAGAGCTCCTGGACGTTTAGATTGGGGAGCAGATTGAAAACGTCCTGATTAAAACAGCTTGTCAGTCACTAAATCGCCGTAGAGGTTTTTACCTGAAGATGGTAAAGAATCCCGTGATTCAATGGTAATCGGCCTTCAACAACGTTGTCCAAGTATGCGCGTATCTCCTTCAGTCGCGCCTCAAGTCCTTTCAGGGATTGTAGTTTTGCTCCAATCTGGAGGTCTTCATTCAATCAGGAAAAACTTATATGATCATTTGCTGTCAATTCTGACCTCGGTAGCGAGTGTCGATACGGTAGCATCCTTCACATCTCGTAGCAAATGCTCGACACCTAAAGAAAAAGAAACACAACGTAACACAAGAGATAATCTGGAAACTCTTACCAATCTCTTCAGCTTCGTAAGCGCCTATTTCCGATGGCACATGAACGAAAGCCTTTTGACTCTTTTGCGTGGCGTTCTCCTTGACGTCTTCGATGGAGTAGTAAGCCTTTGTAGGGATTGCGAGCTCCCTGGGTTGTACGTCGATAATCACCAGGACTGGGTTAGGAGCGTAGCTGGTAGACGTAATCACACAAATGAGCAAACAGAAAAAAAGAAGAAGAGAGAAACAAAATTTCTCACTTCCTAAAGAGCTCGTGAATGTCAAGATCGTTCTCACGTAGTTTGGGACCAGTGCTGTACCATCCAACAACGTGCTCCTTCGCTGCAAGCACAAGCGTAATGCCAAGCAAAGAAAAAACACGAAGAACTTACCATTGATCCGCTTGAACATATCAAACATCGCTTCGTGATAGTTGTGATCCAAAAACCAAATGCTTGGGTCCCTGTCATCCTCTTCAAACGGTACTGCAAGAAGGAAGAACAATTCTCACGACTCCCCAGGAAACCAGAAATTCTCTCCTCGAAATCTCCTACAAATCGGCCATACCTGCGTAGCTGTTAGTGATATCCACACGGCCCCGGAAGGTAGCGCCCAGCAGCACGCCAAGAACTCGCTTGCGCGTATCCTTGGCGACGCGATTGTAGTTGTCCACAATGCTCAGGAGAACGAGCGGATGCACGACAACCTTGTCAATCCCCTGGCCGGCGAGCATTTGCGTGCTGGTCACCACATCCATCGTCCCCGATCGCCGCCTTCTCTCCCACGAACCTAGCCTAGCTTAGGTTAAGGATTTAGGGTTCTTCGTTATTTCTTCGCTATGGAGGAGGCCTTCCGTTTGGCGCTTTTGTTGCTGCTCGCGTCTCTGGCTCTTGGAGCTGTGGACGATCTTCCAGGATGGATGGGGGAAACGTGAGTATGCTACATTCTACTTCTCCAGCTCCATTTTCCCCCTTTTTCTTCTTTTCCAGGCACTCCGTGGATGGAAATATTAGATCTGTGACCGACAAGAGCGATCAATCCATAGTGGATCCGACCAAAGTGATCCAACTCTCTTGGAAACCTCGGTATGTTCTTGAATCTCTTCCAGGATTTAAGTTGACCTTGTTGGAGGAATTGGTCTTTCTTTTCTTTTTTCCTTTTTGTTCTTTGGCTAGAGCGTTCTTGTACAAGGGATTTATGAGTGCTGCGGAGTGTGATCACGTCGTGAAGATGGTACGTTGCTCTAGCTCCATAAAAAAAAAATTTATTCTAAGAACGTACAAAAGAGAATGATCTGCTACTTCGGTTTTATAGGCGAAGGATAAGCTCCAAAAATCTATGGTGGCTGACAACGAGTCTGGCAAGAGTGTCCTTAGCAACATTCGAACGAGCTCTGGAATGTTTCTTTCGAAAGGACAGGTACTCGCTTGCTCGGTCATTTTAGAAAAAAAAAAATTCCTTTGTCTCTCCAGGATGAAGTGATTAACAGGATCGAGGAAAGAATTGCCGCATGGACTTTCTTACCAAAAGGTTCTAGTTTCTTTTGCATATTTTTTTCCAAGTTTATCCTTGGGTTTGTTTTTCTAGAGAACGGTGAGGCCATCCAAGTCCTACGCTACGAGTTTGGCGAGAAATATGAGCCCCACTACGACTACTTTCACGATAAATACAACCAAGCTCTCGGTGGCCATCGTATAGCCACCGTCCTCATGTACCTCTCGGACGTTGTCAAGGGAGGCGAGACAGTTTTCCCCTCGTCAGAGGTTTGTCCAATTCAGATTTTATTGTCCTAGCGTTTTAGTCTGTTCCTTCGGTTTTTTAGGAGGACACCACTGTTAAGGATGACTCCTGGTCCGACTGTGCTAAGAAAGGCATCGCAGGTGAGAACCATTGCCTTTTGCTCTTTGCATCTTTGCCTTGAACCATGCCATTCCTTTTTGCAGTGAAACCACGCAAAGGCGATGCTCTTCTGTTCTATAGTTTACATCCGGATGCCACTCCGGATGAATCGAGCTTGCACGGCGGGTGTCCGGTGATAGAAGGCGAGAAATGGTCGGCCACCAAGTGGATTCACGTTCTTCCATTCGGGAAGCCCAAGAAAGAGGGGTGTGCCGACGAGAATGAGAAGTGTGGAGAATGGGCTGCATATGGAGAGTGTGACAAGAATCCAAGTTACATGGTTGGCACACAGGAATGGCCAGGAGCGTGTAGGAAAAGCTGTAAAGTTTGTTAAACTAAACAATAATTAATTTTTAAATTAACATAGTGCTAAGTCTTTTATATAATTATTCTCTAAATATAGAAGATATAAACAACTCTATATCCACAGATATACTTAAAATATGCTTGATATAGTTGATATTTATTTAGAATAATCTTTGAAGATAGTAAGCTAAACTGACTCAAGAGAAATGAAAAATGATTAATTCCAGTTAAACTTTAAATTGTTACGATAAACAACCATTAACAGCTATAAAAAAAAGAGCAATTAAAATGTTGTCGTGAGTCTTTGGTTTTTCAAAGATGATCAACATTTGTTTGCCACTAATAGCACAATTCATGACTATCTGTAAAGTGTCAAGAACTTGAAAAATAAAAAATTAATATTTAAAGTAAATAAGCTCTTTAGACTCTTTACAACTCAGCTTCTTATTCTATAAAACATTGCAACAACCCACCCAATATATAATCTAGAAATATGAGGAGAATATTTATTTTACTAATTGCTACCCTGTTGTGGCTAGTAGCTGAATGCAGCAGGGCCACCACAAATTCTACTACTGGTAAGAAGTTATATTACTTCATCTATTCAATTTCCTACTTGTGTGGTACAATTCTAGCTATACACCGGCTATGCGGTCCATTGTTTTACCCGTGTTTACCTTTCAGTAAAGTATGTTGCTCTTTTTGCGCTTTGATCACTTGTGCTTGGTGAACTATATAAGATGTTTTTTTTTTTAATTACGTACTAGAAATATCCATCTGCGACATTTTCGGCTCGGTTCTTGCAGCGCAATTGACGTAGAACAACATTCCCCTTTCTTTGTTGCATAACTGTAGCGTCTCTATGTAGCTGGCAAATCAGAGCGGGCGTGATTGAGCGAAGCAAGACATTCACAAACAGCATTGGATTCTTTGGGATGTCGTAGCCTGCAACTTTCTGGGCCTCGATCGATGTGTGCGTAGAGGACGTGCTCGTGAATAACAAGGGCGGTCAAAAAACACTAAGTACGTTTGTCTGTTTGTTTCCTTAGAACGAAGGCCGGGCAATAGATTTTTGTTCAAGTAAAATCAATATGCCTTAAACCATATGAATGTCTCCACGGATCCAAAACTCTATGCTTCTCTCATCAAAACTTGCTGCCATGAGAGGGATTTGCGCAAAGGCAGGCGAGTCCACAAGGAGATCCTCGAAAGCGAGCAAAGATACAACAGGTTTCTGAGCAATTTGCTGATTGAAATGTATGGGAAGTGCGGCAGCATCGATGAAGCATGCAGTGTGTTTCGAGGAATCGATCTCCCAAACCAGTTCTCCTGGAACATCATGTTCGCGGCATTTACCCGCAATGGGAGAATCCAAGAGGCGAGAGAGTTATTCGAGAGAATGCCCGACCGCAACACAGTCGCCTGGAACTCCATGATCCAAGCTCACGTCAACAATGGAGAGCTCGCCGAGGCAATCAAAGTTCTAGAAAAGATGCCCAATCCCGACTGTATCTCGTGGACAATTGTGATCTCTGGATATACCCAAAGAGGGCAATTGCAAAAAGCGAGAGAGATGTTTGATTCCCTGCGCTTTCCCGACACTGTGGCTTGGAACGCGATGATCGCCGGGTATGCCCAAAACGAGCATATCGCGGAGGCGGAGGCGCTGTTTGATCGAATGCCAAGCAAGAATGTCGTGTCTTGGAACACGATGATCGCGGCATTTGCCCAGTGCTCCCGCCTCTACGATGCGATCTCTGCCTTCGAGGAGATGCCGCGGAGAGATGTTGTGTCGTGGAACAGCATGATCCAAGCGTGCATTCAGAATGATGAGCTCGATCTGGCAAAGGAGTTCTTCGATCGAATGCCGCAAAGGGATGGGGTATCTTGGTCGACGATAATTTGTGCTTATGCCCAGAATGGGGAATTTGAGAAAGCCGAGACACTCTTTGCTGAGAATCCTTTCAAGAACATTGTTTCTTGGACAGCTATAATCGTTGCATACGGGCAGTCCGGAAGGTTAACTGATGCCAAAAATGTGTTTGACCAAATGCCACGTCGGAGCGCAGTAACGTGGAACACTATGATCAAAGCATATGCCGACAATGGGCATCTTGATAAAGCCCAGTCTGTTTTTGATTCCATGGTACAACCGGATGTGTTCTCCTGGACGACGCTTTTAGTGGCATATTCGGAGGCAAGGAATATTGCAAAGTGCAAGGAAATATTTGAAAAGATGCCAGAGCGCAATGTGGTCTCCTGGAACGCTATGTTAACAGCATATGCCGAGAACGGGCAGCTGGAAGATGCGGTGGCCTTGTTCGAGAGCATCCCCAAAAGAGACACTGCGTCGTGGAACGCGATGCTGGCGGGATATTCCCACTGTGGCCAAGGGGACGCCGCAAGACACCTGTTTGAGACGATGCCAAAGAAGAACTCCATCTCTTGGGGGACGATGATCCACGCTCTAGTCCACGGCAAGCAATGCAAACAGGCAATCTCGTTGTTCGCTGCCATGGATCTTGAGGGCCTTCGTCCGGACAAAGGAACTTTCGTCAGCGCGATCGATGCTTGCACTGTTCTTGCGACGATCACGGAGGCCCGGATGATCCACTCCATCGTCCGGAGCAGCCATCACGTAAGATCCGACACTTTCGTGCTGAGCGCCATTGTCAACATGTATGGAAAGTGTGGCAGCTTGCGCACCGCGAGGCTGGTCTTCGACGAGATCCCTTGCAAGACAGTGGTGACTTGGAGTGGAATGGTGGCGGCCTACGCGCAAAACGGCTTCAAAGAAAAAGCTCTACAAGTGTTTCAGCTCATGTCACTGGAAGGAGTCTTGCCTGTGGACGTGACTTTCACGAGCATTCTCTCGGCGTGCGGCCATGCAGGACTGCTAAGCTGTGCCTGGGAGTATTTCATGTCGATGGTCTCGGATCACGGACTTACGGCCACTGCCGAGCACTACCACTGCCTGGTCGATCTGCTGGCTCGCTCCGGAAGGCTGGAAGAAGCCGAGGAGCTCATCACCACCATGCCGTTTGCAGCAAACAGCGTTCCCTGGACATCTCTCCTCGGTGCGTGTAATCTTCATAGAAACTCGAAGCATGGCGATCGGATTGCCGGCCAAGTCCTCCGGCACTCCCAGGAGGAGGATAGCTCCGGTTCTTACGTTCTTCTCTCCAACACTTTAAACGTCTGAAGATTCTCCCGTGCTCGGGAAACTGTGAAGCTATTTACACGCGTGAATCGTGAAGAACAATTATTTACAAGGACGTACTCTCAGGTGGACGCTTCTTCTAGAGTGTCCAGCTCCCAGCCGTCTGTTGCCTCGGCCTCTTGACCGTCCGGCTCGGCTTTCGATTCTTCGTCACGCACCTCTGGGCTTGTAGAAACTGGACTATTAACTTTTCCGGTTTCTAGCTCTGGTCGCTTCAGTCCTCTGAGTTCTGTCTTGAAGGAATCGATGGCTCCGATACACTTCAGGAGTTTTTTCTCTACTTCGTCCCTGCCAGTGGATAGTGCTAGTTAGAAGGAATGTAAAGAAACTCCGCCAATGCACATTACCCGTCTTCTTTTATTTCAAAAGTTTTGACTTCGTCCGACAAACTCTCCATGAGTTTCAGAACACGAATCACCTGTGCAAGTAAATTACAAATGCAGGTAGAAATGTCAACTTATTAAGCTACCTGATTTTCAGTTTCCAAGAATCTCTGCCTGATGGTAGAGTCTGTCTCGTTGTCTTCACTGCTGATAAGTTTTAGACTCTTTAGCAAAAGCTTTATCTCCTCCTGCATTCGAAAGTGAGCTTAGAAAATACACAGATCTGTAAACTAAACCTGATGGTAAGAAAGATTCATTGACGCAATCGATAGAAACTGTAGCTTTGCTTCTTGCGAATCGTGCCTGCACAATAATGTAAGTAAACTTATAAGCTTATACTTGCATTAGTCCCACTCACTGGATAGCTTTGGTCTTTTCTTCAAGACAAGCTGACTGGAGAAGCCAGGTGTCTTCCAAAAATCCTAGCCAAGTGCTGGCTACACCTGCTTCAGCCCTCCGCGCAGCTATAGACTTCGTTAACTCTTCTTCCTAGAAAAATGAAAGTCATACAATGAAACAGATACAATTGCTCTGGACCTGTATGGACAGATGCGCCACAATATTACTGCTTGCTTCGTCAAACTGAGCTTTTTCTTCCTGCGTGTTGATATGTCGGGCGGTTGCAGAAGACAAAGCGCTATTCACCTTGTATGTCAAACATATATTAGGCAGTTCTTTTTTGAAGTAGAAGACTCACCTCCTTCAACTCAGCCTCCAATTGCTCTTTTCTCTTATGGAGGGCTTGAATTTCTGAAGACAGTGCCTATAAGAGAGATTGAAAAATCAAACCATGCTACTATGCCATGCCTTACTGACCTTTTCAGTTTCTACAACTTCAGAAGCTTTAGAGTCTCTGTATTTGATAGCCTTCTCCTTTTGTTGCCTGTGCATGGCACACATAAGCATCGCAGAGATAACTGATACCAGTTACCTGTTCTCCGAAATTTTTTGCTCTATTCCACTTATTGAGCTCGTCAGACCCTCCGTAACTTCCTTAAGCTTCTGAACCTGCACCAGTGGCACCATAATGTTTCATTGCAGATATGTAAAAGCTTCAGACTTTCTCTGTTCTGCTTTTTGCAGTATCTCCTGCTCGCAAGAGTTCTTCTTTCCTCCGTAAGTAGTGTCTCACACGAGCTCCATATTCAAGTACTTCTTCGGTTATGTTGGCATCCTATAAAATCTAGTCTAAGAAGCCGTAAGTATAAGAACTCTCGGCAAACCTCGTTACTGTCTTTGGACAAAGGCACACCTTGTTTGTCGGACATCTTCTGCTCTAAAAAGAACATTTCCACGTCCAGCCTACAGCAAAGAGCTCATACTTTAGAACAGAATAAAAAGCAAGAAGTCAAACAATCAACTTTTCTGCCTCCGTGCTCAGTTTCAAACCAGTGACAGCTGTTTGTGCGAGTTCGAGCAAATCTGATCTCCTTATCTGTAAAAAATTTAGCATTAAGAACCAAAAAGAGTATACACAAGCACCGAACTTCAACTTCTTCTGAAAGTGTTGAGAACGCTTTCGCCAAATCTTGAATGCTGCTTATGAACGCGTTGTGCAACTCCTGTCCTCCCGCTAGACACAGGCTGCACCCGAATAATTAAGTATAAACAAAACTACAAAATAAAAGCTGCTTACCCGAAAATCTCGACTAAAACTCCAATTTCTTCGTCCAGGGGAGCTTCAAGAATCTGAAAAGACATGTCAATAACATACATGAAAAGGTAGCAACTTGAATAGAGCCATACCAGCGAAGTAATAATGTGCTCAAGAGCACGACTTTGCAAAAAGACGTCGCGAAAATTCATTGGCTCGCCTCCACTCTCCATGTCGTAAAACAGTGCCTAGATTGAATACAATAAGAACAAGCAAAAACAAAAGAGTGAATCAAATCCCTCACCATGTAAGGCTTCCTTGGCGACGTTGCCATTTCTTCGCTCTCTGAATTTCTCGGAGACGCTGGATTCGAGTTTCCCGTCCTTTTAGTCTCTCTGTCGATTTCTTTGAGTGCAGCAAGCCATCTCCCAAGTGCCTGAAGCCTCTCGGCACCTCTTGCATGGAGAGAGACTTCGTTGAGGCGCTTGACAGCATCCTTGAAGCTGTTTAGATTTCTCCCAGACTGGAAAAAGGAAAAATGTGAGTCACAACTCAAAAAAAAACTCACTGATTTTTAGTGCATATCTCTACTCGTTACAGCTTCTTTCTTCCTATGCAAGAAAACTTACACGCAAGCTCGACGACTAGCTCCAAATTCTTCGCAAGGATCCATCGCTGCAAGTCTATGACGCCAAGAATCTCTAGCGCTAGAGAATGAAAAAAATGCTGCCTAGCAGAGCGCGAGGAATCGAGGCATACCAATTTATCCTGGACGATCTTTGCGCTCCCAGCTGCTTGATGATAGACAGCGCCAGCATAGCTCTTCACGGTGCGACTGAGATTGTTCTTGCTCCCTACCTCCGCGGCCTTGTCCGCGGCCTTGCTTAGCGCAGATCTAAGCCACGACATTCCCTCGCTCGCCTTGTTGACCCAGCATAAACCCTAACCCTAGTCTTGCGACAGGGGAGGGAGTATGGCACCGGATCCCTCCAATGCGGCCTCCTGAGCGCGCGATCTCGATTACGCAGCGCCAAGATCATTGATATTTCGGTCTTGATCCAGGGATTTCGCCATGGAGGAGCCTCAGCGCCAACAGGATCGTCCTCCAGTGGCGCCTCTCAAGGTACCTCCGCGCGCTACTCGATCTGTGTCCTTCAGCCATTCGGTGTTCTCGCCCTCCCCATCGCCATTCCCTCCATCGTCGTTTCCATCGCCTTCTCCCACGCCTCGCCCCCGCCCTAGGCCGCCGGAAGCCCCCGCCTGGTTCTTGCTACTCGTCTTCCACACTCTGCCTCTCTACGTCGCTCACTCGTGGCTCTCAGCGCATTCTTCGTCCTCGTCGCCCTCCACCACCGTGATCTTCACATTCCTCGTCTTGCTCGCCTCCTCCATCAGCTTCGCGCTCCTCCAAGAGAAGCAAGCGCGGACCCTGCGACGCTCGTCCATAGCTACGTCGCAGTGGATTCTTCTCGCTGCCAATGGATTGCTCCTCGCACTCTCGGTCTTCCTCAAGCTGGAAGCGGTGCGATCGTGTGGGCCGCTGATAGCGATTCTTGGTCACTATGCGGGGTCCGTGCTAGGCAGATTGGTTCTCGGGAAGAACGCAAAGAGAAAAACACTACGTGGTGTTTTGCTCACAGTTCTCGGGCTTGTTCTACTATCACAAGGCTGGACAGTGGAATCGTGCTCGCCTTTGGCGATCAAGGACAGGCTGAGGATTTTGATGCCGCCAAGCAGTGGAAAGGTGGCAGCGGCAGAGACGTCCCGATCAAGCTGTGGAAACAGGCCAGTTTGGATACCAATCTTATCCGGCTTGCTGAGCTACGTCGTCCAACTCGTGTCAACCCGGACGTCCCTCCGGATGATCACCAAGAAACGTGTTCATGGCCTGTCTAGCATCTGCGCTACGCTGCTCATTCTTCCTCTGGCACTCCTCCAGCTCGAGAGTTTCTTCGTGGCACACGCTTCCGCTTTGTGGCCGGCGGGTAGCATGCTGGTTCTCGGACTTGCTCGATCGATCATGGGAGACTTTTACTTCGAGGACAGGCTGCAAATGCCGGCAGGGACTTCCAGGCACTTGTTCATCACCTTTTCCTGCGCGTGTCTACTGGAGCTTGTGTTCGGGCTGGATATTTCTCCGCTGGGATTCCTCGCATGCTCGGCCATCTTCTTCTTTGCTGTGCGGGAATCCTCTGGGACCAGCCCCTCTTTTACGTGGGATTCCATCGCAGAAAAGGAGGCCTCGGAGTCTTTCGTCAAGGGCCCGCTTCGGTACATTGCAGCTGATCGAAAGTCGAGGAAGATCGCGTTTTTCCTGGCCATGAACGCGACTTTTATGGTGGTGGAATTCGTCTCGGGTTTTATGAGCAACAGTTTGGGACTCGTCTCCGACGCCTGTCATATGCTCTTCGACTGCGCAGCACTGGGCATCGGGCTGTATGCCTCGTACATTTCCAAGCTTCAGCCAAACGCAGTCTTCGGCTACGGGTATGGCCGTTTCGAAGTTCTGTCGGGCTACGCGAACGCCGTGCTGCTGGTGCTGGTCGGCTCCCTTATAGTGCTCGAGTCCATCGAACGAATTCTGGACCCTCCAGAGATTTCTACGGAGAAGCTGTTGCTGGTTTCTGTTGGAGGATTGCTCGTGAACCTCGTGGGGCTCGTTTTCTTTCACGACGAGCACCACCACGCACATCATCCCCATTCTCACGGGCAGCATCAATGTGATCATGGACACAGTCAGAAAAAGCTGAGCAGAGAGTTGAGCATCAAACTCGAGGTGGAGGAGGAGCACCATTATCATCATTTGGATTCTTCTCAAGAACATCATCAGGAACACCAACACTCGACTGACACGGGTCACGAGCACCATTCTAGCCATCATTCGCACGATGACCACAACCACGAAGACGGGCATAAGCAACACTCTCCGGGCAGTGAGACTCCAGATCAAAGCAGACATGAAGAAACTTGCAGCCACCACCACCACCACCATCGCCACCAAGCGAACCACGTCCACAATCACCTCGACGGTCATCACCAGCATGACCATCGCAAAGAGGAGGACGAGCAGCACGAGAACGAGCATGACCATCATCACCACCATCACCACCACCACATTGATCACAACATGCGGGGGATTTTCTTGCACGTCCTAGCGGACACACTGGGCAGCGTCGGGGTGGTGATCTCTACCGTCTTGATACAGTACAAGGGATGGATGCTCACGGATCCAGCGTGCTCCATTTTCATCTCGGCCATGATCATCGTCTCCGCGGTCCCGTTGCTGACTAACTCCGCGGAGATCTTGCTGCAAAGAACACCCAGATCGGTTGAGAAACGGCTGCACGAGGCGCTGGAGCGGATCCGGCACGTCGAAGGTGTTGCTGGATTCGAGCGGATGCACGTGTGGAGCTGCACAAACAGCGAAATCGTAGGAAGCTTGCACTTGCACGCTTACACGGCTGACAAAAATGGAGTTCGAGACAAAGTTGCACGGCTGCTCAACAAAGCTGGGATCACAGATTTGACGGTCCAAGTCGAATCTATCTGAGGCACAGAGGCGACAATTTGGTGAGTTCCAAAACGATCATTTTGAAACGTGAACTCAATCTACTTTCTGCTTTCTTGGCAGGACGCGCACTGTGGAGCGTCGCTTTCGTGTTTGGATGGCGAATCACCAAAAGCTCGTGGAGTTTTGTTTGTAATTTACGCAAACCGAGTTTTTTTATTCAAACTTGGTGAGCTATTTTGTTCCCTTGGATACGTCTTTCTCACCTCTCTATTCAACTAGGCAGCGAGCATATACAAGCATATTCTTGCTTCTGTGTTTGCCTGGTGATGGCGTTGAGAAGGGATCGTCGAGCATGTAAGTTCTTTCAACCAGTAGCGGCCTTAGTTATGGTGACAGCGACGATGTTTATAGCTGCTGCTGCAGCTCAGGCCTCTTGCCCCGTGGGATTCGACTATCTCAGCAAATTCCCGTCGACTCTGCGTTCGTGCGATCAGACCAACCTCCAGACCAACGTGACCGTCTGCTGCTCCGCTCTGCTCAACTCATTGGGTATCGCTCTAGCCGAGAATCTCAAGACTACAGGTGGATTTGAGTTCAGGGACAACGCCACCGCAACTGCCTGCTTAGCCGACTTCCAATCCAACCTTACGATAAACAATGTGCAGCAGAACTTCGTGAGCACCTGCTTCCCAGTCCCATATGAAAGTCCATCGCGCTTCATTCAAAGTCCGGATCTCTGTGCTGGGATAACCACGACGGCCGACTGGGACAGAGTAGTGGGACAGACTCCCATGGACATTTCGTGCCGTGGGGATTTATCCAGTGGTGCTGCTTGCCAGAGCTGCGTAGCCGATGCGGAAGAGGTGGTGAGGACGCTGAACAGCATTTCTCCGGGTCGACTGGAGTGCCTGTACTTCACAGTCCTTTACGCAGCAGGGGTGATAAACGATCGAGGTCCATCGGAACCTTCGACAGTGGAGTGCTTGCTGGGGATAAACATCGCCGGCACGCTTGCCACAGGCGGCTCTTCAAGCCGCAGTTTGAGAATAGTCTTGCCGGTGGTGCTTACTGGAGCAAGCGTGGTTTTCCTGATCGTTATAGGTGGCATCATTTGGAAGTTGTACACCAAGAACAGGGCAATGGAGGACGTTCTTTTATCAGAGCTCGGACCAACCTACACCGCCAGCAACGGTTTGAAGCTCGCAAACCTTTTGCCAAATACCGGGCTGGTGGTTTTCAAGGCGAAGGATCTGAAAGCGGCTACCAACAATTTCTCGCACAGTAAGTTGGTCGGGGAGGGAGCCTCTGGCCGAGTATACAGGGGTGTTCTCCGGAGACGAGGTGAGGTTGCCGTCAAGGTCATGAAACAGAGCTGCCTGCACGACTTTTACGACGACGACGAGAAGAAATTCCTGGAGCAGATGAAACTCGTCAACAGCTTTAAGCACAAAACGCTGGTGCAGCTGCGGGGCTGTGCGATCTCCGACGCGAAGCAGGGGCTACTCCTGAACCAGCAGAGCAGGATCATGGTCGTCTACGACTACATGCCAAACGGCAACCTCGACAACGCGCTCTTTGGCAGCAGGTTCTTGTCGTGGCCGCTGCGAAGGAAGGTCGCCGTGGACATTGCCATCGCGATCAATTACCTCCACAACGAGCTGCAGCCAGGGGTCATCCACCGGGACATAAAACCGAGCAACATCCTACTCGACTCGGGCCTCAACGCGCGGCTGGCCGACTTTGGCCTGGTGAAAGCGGTACCAGCGGCCGGAGTCCCGGCCCCAGCAGACACACCACCACGGAAAAGCGCCACCTCGGTGGCCGGGACGCCATTCTTCGTGGCACCGGAGTACGCTCTCTACGGCCACCTGACGCCAAAGTCGGACGTTTACGGGTTCGGGATGGTGATGCTGCTGCTGCTCAGCGGGCGAAGGCCGATGTTTCACGCACCCGAGGCGAGAAGCTCGCGAGAAAAACTGGAGGGAGAAGTTGCCAGCGCCAGGGACGAACAGGTTCACGTAGCGGACTGGGCGTGGGAGCTGGTCCGGCGCGGCCAGAGCATCGAGGTGGTGGACGAGAGGGTGAGAAACGCGGGGCCGTGGAGCGTCATGGAGAGGTTCGTGGTGGTGGCGCTGCTGTGCGCTCACCCGCTGGTGGGCGTGAGGATCGGGATTGGCCACGCGCTCGCGATGCTCCAGGGAGATATGGAGCTGCCTAGCTCGCTCCCAGATCGGCCCAGGTACGCCACGGCCGGATGGTGACGGCGGTATCATCCTGTGCCACGTGGGACCACGTAGGACGATGACGTGTTAGAATATACCTTCCGAAAACTGGGGACTTGGCAAGCAAGGTAGTTGCCACTGGATTGAAAGTGCGTTTAACTTCTCGGGTGGATCGTGGCAACACTCCCTCTGTCACTGCCACGGATTTGCAGCTCCCGACACATCCAATTGTATTTCCAAGGCCCATGATCGGGCACAAAAGGAGGATAGAGGTCTCTATTAGAGAGGAGAGATTCAAGGCTTAGCACTGCGCGCTCTCTACCGCCTAACAGGCGACAGCCAGAATTCTTGATCGGCAGCTAATCCATGCTCGATCAAAGGCGAGAAAACCTGATTGATCTGTGCGTCCGCGCACAACCTCACGGCCAATTCGAGCCGAGAAAGAAGAATCGGGTGGTGTTACGTCGTTCGGAGGTGTATTTTGACACGTCATCATCCTGGCACAAAATGTTCATAAACTCGTGTTTGGGCGCTCGGTCAATTTCTGGAATCTTGGAATCTTTGACGAGCCGTGCTAGGGGAAGAAAAAATTGCATTTAGCAAACGTCCAAGTGCGTCTACAAAGTAGTGATAGAAAACAAAAACGCCCGCCAAGAACAGAATATTCCACTCGATCCTTTTTGAATTCGCTTCTCTTTTTGTCGATTTGTCAATTACCTAAATTATCAATTTCCGTCAAGTTTTCCTCGTGTCCACGTGATGGGAAAATTGCGAGAAAAATCTGGTCATAAGGACAAAGAGCATGCCAACACTGACCGGGCAAACCTCTGTTACAGCCCCTAAACGTCTCATGACCACCGGCAATCGCGACTTTGACGTGTAAAATAAATCGAGTCTTCCCTTTTTATGCTTCAATGACAAGCTCCCAAGCGAAAGATCTTCTTCTTCCTCTCGAGAAGAGTGAGCCATGTATTGCTGCCTGATTGATGCTCCAATTTGATGCCATGCCACCCTGCGACACGTGGATTAAAAAATACCGACAACCTAGAATTTGTATTGAAGCCGGGTCGTATAGGCACGAGCCGGGCAATTTCCATGAGTGTCACTTCCAGGATGCTGGGGAGTCGGCAGTTTCCCACGAGGGTGCAAGCTCCGGGTATAAGTGCATTCAAAGGCGAACCCTGTTTCTCTCCCCCGTAGTGTCCTTAAAGATCTCTTCATGTGTCTTGTATGAATCCTTTGTACTATAAGCTCGAGAAGACATTACTATGTCTGGAGAGAAGCATCTAGCCAAGATCATCAGGTGAAGGAAAGAAAGTCGCACTAGATCTGCGAATTGGATCCAAAAGATCGAGCGAGGGGATCGATATGGGAAGAGGGCCTTGCACTTGCTGCAGCAATGCGTATTTCAACAGGGGGCCATGGACGCCCGAGGAGGACGCGCTCCTCACGGAGTATATCAAGCGCCAGGGCGACAAAGGCAACTGGAGGAAAGTCCCCAAAGCAGCTGGTAAATCAAACGCAAAAAGAACTTCTGAGATTTCTGTTCTATCCAATTCCAAAGTACTTAACTTTTGTCTTTCGATAGGATTGCTGAGATGCGGCAAGAGCTGCCGGTTGAGATGGCTCAATTATTTGAGGCCGGATATCAAGCGAGGCAAATTCTCCGAGGACGAGACAGATCTCATCATCAGGCTGCACTCTCTTCTTGGCAACAGGTATAAACAAAGCTTGATCAATCATCAAGTTCTTGTCTGACCAATGATCGAATTCGTTTGTAGATGGTCCATCATTGCTGGTCGAGTTCCCGGCCGGAGCGACAACGAGATTAAAAACTACTGGAACTTCCACCTGAGCAAGAGGCTCTTGGGCATGGGGATCGACCCCAAGAACCACAAGCCACTACTCCACTATAATTCGTCGACAATCAAATCGCCTGCAACACACAAGAACACACACACCAGCTTCTTCAGCCGCAACACATCTTTCACCTCGTCCTTCTCCGCCTTCCCGTCGCCCGAAACTGATTGCAGCCTCAACTCCGAGGCATCATCTACTAGCAGTCTCTCGATCAAGCCCGGCATTGGTGCCCACACTTCCTGGAGCATCGAGGTCGTGAATGCGGATCTGCAAGAGCCCGGATCCGTTCAAGTTGACCATGATCAGCTCCAACAACATCACCATCATCAACAACAACAACAACAAGATGATCCAAAGTTCATGTCAATGAGTTATATCGATCTTGCTCACAATCTAGAACGCTATAATCAGCGCCAAGAAGACTTGGGCCATGAGAGCTATGGCTTCGCAGCGGACGAGGACTTGAACAGTAACAACATCAGCAACAACAGTGACAATCTCAACGCCTTGGACAGCAGCGATGACGACGGGATGAGCGCGCTGATGCAAGATCAAGCCCTGCTTAGCCTAGACTTTCTAGAGGTGCCCTTGCTGGAATCAGAGGGCTTGCTCGATGTTCTGGGCTACTTACAGTGATCTTAGGAGAAAAACTCTCGAGAGCATGATCAAACTTAGAGTTCGATCCCGGTCTTTTCCACTTTTTCTTCTCCACTACGTAGAGATCGTGTCACATGCTGACCTGGAAGAAGTGCTAAAAGTCCAGTCCGCCAAGACTACATCCCTTTCGTTTTAATGACGCCACATTTTGCCATATATATTGACATAAGCGACCAGCTGGAGGCATGAGACCACAAACTTCGATGGCGGTCAAGATTGTTTCCTCTCCAGATCACTTGGGAATGGTAGCTCCTGGGCTAAGTGAACGCCTCTAAGTTAGAAACCGTGCTAGATAATATCGTTCCAGGATTTTTCTGGGGCCGAGATTATGCAAGTTGTTGTTCAATGGGGGCACTGCTGCTGCTTTTGAAAACACGATACATAACAAAATCGCTTTCTCTTGTCTTCCTTGAAAAGGCAAGCACAAATGTACGAAAATCGCCAACCCTCCAATCTAGATTTTTGTTCTCCTGCGTTGATCTTGCATGCTCCACGACAAAGCGAAAAGAAGGAAAGGGCAAATAGCTCTGTACCTTGTTTCTTGCAAGCAGGATGCTGTTTGGTTTTGGCACAGCTGATCCACTGTTGCACTGAAGTTGAAGCTTCATCGGACCAGGTCACACAGTTTTATTTCTTCTGGAGACGGAACAATAGTTTGATTAGCTTTGAAAGAGTTACGGCACAGTGACTACACGGAGGGAAGCAGCGACTTTTCCTCTTGGACTTGAATGGGGCATAGGTCCATGTTTCGAGAGACGAGTATAAAATTATTGATATAGTCGTGTTCGGATTCTCAACCTGATCAAACGGCTGTAGACGAAGACAAGAAATGGATAAACTCATCGACAATACTCTCCGCGGTAAGCAGATTTACAATGTTCTTTTGGCCTGAAATGAGAACCAGGAAAGGGCCACCAGGTGCCAAGAGGACAAGAAGGCGGAAAATGAAATAGTGGTGAACTAGCAAATGGAATGTGAGAAATTGGGGAAATATGACTTGAAGGTGGCCCAGGAATAAACGGTGGAGCTTGGTGGAATGGAATAATGTGGCTTGAGGTTGGCTGATTATATCCTGGAAAGCAAGGAGATGGAGCATGAGAAACTTGAGCTTTGTGACGTAAGATTTTTCCTCCAGAATCAAGTTCAATTGTGTAGTCGTTCAGCAACATACAAATGTCACTAGGCTTGCAAATGAACATCTAGAAGGTCAGCATTACGAATCAAGGAAGAATCATAAATGTGCAGCTACAGTAAGTTGCTCTCTCAGACACTCTTCTGGAGATTCATCAGTCTGTCATTCAATATGATCATCATCTCTGTCAGTTTCTGTTCTTGCTGCTTTGGCTCCTTAAAAACACTTTGGCAACCCTCTTGTCTTTCCCAACGCTGTCGCTCTGAGTATAAAACTTCTTCATCACCTTGCTGATGAGGAGATCCACATGCAGTGCACACTTAAGATTTATCATTTTGTCTACAATAGAAGTGCTGGTTTTGTCGTTGAAACTAGATTGTGCCTCAAGCTCACAGCCAAAGAACCTTGTCATATGTGCTGGGGAGCCTGAAAGTGCCTTCCACCATATTCACAATGCTTGTGTTAATAATACTGTGAATTTTGGTCACCAACTTTGGCATTTCGTACCATAGAGCATTCTGGAGCTTTTTCCTCCTGCTAAAAACCCGCTTTTTAAATGCCATAGTCACATAGTTTATGGTTGGCGTTTTTTTTTCCTCTCGTTAGAATTAATAACTCTGCCCACCAACCGACTTAGAAGTTTCGGAGAGGCTCATTTCCGAGAGTTGAAAGGGGCCCTTAAGCGTGGAATTCTGCTTTTCAAAATTTTGAGTAACAAGTTTGATTTCATGCTTATCCCCTCGAAAGAAAAATCAAAAGTCAAAGTCGTCCAAATGAGTCATCGTTGTGGAAAGCTATATAATAATGGAACAATGCCACCCGGTAAACTGAATGTAAAAACGATTTTAAGTTTTAGGGCTCCCGGAAATGCATGGAGGCGCGCGCGGTGAGTTTTGATTCCACGCAGAGCTCGAAGCGATCGCGCCATCCAAATGGCTTGGGTGCTCTACACGCCTATCGCCGCCGCCGCTGCATTCTCGCCCATTGCTTCCAAGAGCCCTAGAATTCTCGCTAGTAGCTCGCAGGGGAGTGTAGACGAGGGCGGCAGCAGCAGCAGCAGCAATGCAGCACCAGTCGTGGAAGGAGAAAACTTCCCCAAGAAATCCGAGGCTCCATCTGCCAAGACTTGGTATCATCAACAGTCGAGGAGCAGTGACTTTCGAGGGGACACCAGGAAAAATCCCGGCTCCACAAAGTGGACTCCGGACATAGGCCGAGCAGACGCTGTTCTCCAGGCAATACGAAATGGTATCTCGAGTGGAAAAGATCTGGCCACGGCTCTAGAGTCGTGGAGCGGGGGCCATCTTCCTTCCAGGACCGTGGTGGCGGTCTTGGGTGGGATGCGAGACTGGAAGGAGGCGCTCGACTTCTTCCGGTGGGCGAGGTCCCGGCGTGACGTTTGCGAGATCACTGTCTTCGCATACAACATGATGCTCAAGCTGCTACGCGACGGAGAACAGTGGAGCTTGTCGGAAGTACTTCTCAAGGAGATGCTCGAGGAGAGGATCATGCCGGACAACTACACTTTCAGCATCTTTGTCAGCTGTTCCAAGCGCTGCGACCGAGCCGAGGACGCCATAGCCTGGTTCCACCGGCTTCGTGAAACCGGAGTTTCTTTCGACGGAGTTACGTACAGTGCCATGATCGACCTCTACGGGAAGGCCGGAAGAACGGCCGAGGCCATGGATCTCTACCAGACAATGCGAAAGAACAACTGGAAGCCCGACTTAGTCTCGTTTGGTGTGATCGCGAACGTCTACTCGAGAGTCGGGGATTACCAGGCGATCTTGAGGCTCTTCCGAGACATGGAACAAGCCGAGATCAAGCCAAACGTGGTTCTCTTCAACACTCTGATTGGAACGCTAGGACGAGCTGGGAAAGTCACGCTCGCCAAAGGGATGTTTGACGAGATGGCGACCTATGGCCTGGAGCCGTCGGAGATAACTCTCAGCATCCTCATCGACATGTACACCAAAGTTGGCGCGCTCGACAAGGCCCTGGACGTCTACGACACCATCAAGCAGAAGAAATGGAAGCTCGACGTCCTCGTCTACAACACGCTGCTCAAGTCGTGTGTGGAAAGCGGCAACATCCAGAGGGCTGAGAGCTTGATCGCAGAGATGGAGATGGAGAAGCAGTGGCCGGATCATATGACTTATGGGATTTTGATGAATGTCTACGCGACCAAAGGCATGGTGGCAGAGGTCCGGGCCATGTTTGACAAGCTCAAGAACTTGGCCGTGTTTCCAAAGGCGGCCTTCTACACGATGCTCATCAAGGCCTCCAAGCAGGCCGGGGACTTCGATCGCATACCCGGGATCTTTGACGAGATGGTCGCGAATGGCTGCTCTGTGAACGAGAGGATGAGCGGGATGCTCGTCTCGTGCGCCTCTTCGTCGCAGATAAGTGACGAAACCCGGCTCGGCGTCCTCGAGTGCGTGAAGAAGATCAAGCCCCGGCTCCACGAGCTTTTGTCCCGGCTGCTAGTTCTAGCCAAAGAAGACGATGACTTTGATGACATCGCTTCCGAGACCACCGAGTTTTTGCTGCGGGAGATCACGGCTCCGTCAAGGAGGCCGATGTGCAACGCGGTGATAGACTTTTGCTGCGTTCTGGGATCCAGAAACGCTGCTCGAGCGATACTTTCCAGCGGAGTCTCGGCTGGTTTGTATCACGGGCTCCACACCACCTTACCGTCGTTGTGGCAACTCAACTTGAGAACTCTCTCGTTCGCTGGTGCCGAGTGCGCGCTGGAGGCTTGGATCGAGAGCTTAGCCACTGCGGCGGAGAATGGCGACGAGTTCCCGGAGGATGTCATGGTGGAAACCGGGACTGGAAGAGCGAAAGAAGCGACCAACAGCGTCAGCCTGAGCGAGTTCGTGGGGGGAGTGTTGAAAGGCATGGATTCTCCGTTCGAGGAGAACCGTCGTCCAGGGGGATACTTCATTGCTAGCGGAGAAGCAGCCAAGGCATGGCTCCAAAGTCGAAAGCCCGAGCTAAAAAACTGAAACGATCGACTCAAACTCGAAGAGAAGCGATCGTGGATTGGTATTATTCTCAGAGGTTACAGCAAAAGGCGAGAGTTTATAGTTCGTCATAGATCCTTGACAACTAGCTTTTTCTGGCTTCTCCGATCCGCAAAGAAGGAGAAGGATGAGATACACGCAAGAGGGATTTGAATTGGAGCGGTGAAAGGATCCAGCGTTCTCAGATCCCAATGCGAACTGTTGGAGGAGTTTGATCTCGCTGCATTGATCAAGGAACACAGTGAACACATGAATCAAATTGGAAACATCAAAAGAGGAAAAGGGAATAGAACTTACTTGGCGATCGCGATTTCCGCAGTGAGCCTCATAGATGATCCTTGGAACCATTTGGTCTTCCCCCAGGATACAAGGAGACAATGCATGAACTTCTGAGGCGGCGGGCGCGAGATCCGGGGGATTGTCATCGTCGTCATCCCCATGCACGAAGACAAACTTTGCAAACAAAGAATCTCGCAGTGCCATTGTAGAGAGGACTTCTTCTCAAGAGAGAAGAGAGTGAGCAAGAAAGCGAGAGAGGGATAGAATAAGCACTGAGATTCACTCGCGGGGCATGTAATCTTACGTGGACGTGCCAGGTCGAGGTGGCAGCTGAGGTGGCCGTGGCTCCACGCATCCCTTGCATGGTGCTCGTGGAAGCCACGCGACGAGACGTTCCTCTTACCCACGTATGCAATCGTATTTGACTCCTTTTTACTAATGTTGACTATTTCCTTGATTGAGCTCGAAAGGAAGTATAAGTGTGAAATCTATAACAGGAAGATTGATTCAAGTGCAATGTGAAATTAATAACAGGAAGATTGATCCAAGTGCAATGCTTTGTTTTGACCCTGCATCCAAGTGATATACATTGCTAAGTAACACGTCAGAGGCTACGCCAGTCATTTGCATTCTCTCAAAGATCTTCTTTGCTTGACCTTTTTCTCCGGAATCTGATCAAACACTGTTTCGATTCTTTGATAAGACCATTTACATAGTACACGTTTAGCATTGTGTTCCATGCTTTTTGTGGCGGCTGATTAAACAAAATCTTTGCCTCACTGAGATGACTTGCCTAGAGGAAGCGTTTAATTATTTTTTTTATCAATCTGACAGTTTTGAGCAAACATCGTGACCATAGCTACGTTCTATAATTAAAGCGTCTATAAAGTTCGCTTGGACATCAAAGTAATATGGTCGGAGTTACACTTTTTCTTGCTGCGCTGAAGGCAAAAAACAAAGAAAAGTATAAAAATAGTGCTTACCATTTATTTAGCTTAAAAACTTAATTGAAAAGCTTGAGGTGTTTGAGGAAAAAGTTACCAATGGAGCTTCAAAACATTGGCTCCAACAACAACAATGATGCCTTCTACAGGTATTATTTGTAAAATTTCTTGCTTCAATGTGACATCTTCACATTCACAGGTACAAAATGCCGAAGTTAGTGACCAAGATTCATGGGCGTGGCAATGGTATTAAGACAAACATTGTGAATATTGTCGAGGTGGCTAAGGCACTTGCACGTTCCCCAGCACATGTAACAAAATTTTTTGGTTGTGAGCTTGGGGCGCAATCCAGTTTCGACAACAAAACTCATACTTCTATTGTCAATGGCGCTCACGAAACTCAAAAACTGTGTGATCTCTTGGATAGGTTCATTGAGAAATATGTTCAGTGTTACAAGTGTGGGAATCCGGAGACTGATATTGTGCTAGACAAAATGATAAGTCTGAAGTGTGCAGCGTGTGGCCACCTTTCTCATATGGATCCCCTCGACAGCAACAAGGCGATGATGAAGTTTTACAGTCAGAACAACAGCATTGGATGCAGCAAGAAAGATAAAAGGGTTGCCAAAGTGATTCTGAAGAGCCAAAGCATCAAGACTAGAAACCTTCAAGAGGAGGACAAAGATGATGATGATATTAAATGGCATGCTGATGCATCCGTAGAAGCTGCTCACCAGCGTATGAAAGAGCAACTCACTAAAGCTGCTACTTCTATGATTCTTCCTTGATTCACTTCTAGCTACTTCAAATTTTTTTTATATTCAATGTATTGTAAGTAGGAGCAGCTTCTTATGGAGCAGATCATGGATTCATCTCTTGCACAGGCCATGAGTTAGTGTCAAAGAATCAAAAACTTTCAAAGAAATAAAAACTCGGCGGTGTTGAATGCGAAGCCATTGTACGATCATCGTCTTTGGCTAAGTAGCAGCCCGGGTAGCAAAAAGCTCATGGAGCCGGGGCTTGATCTTCTAGAACAGGGGCACGAGACTTATTAACGTCCGAAGGTCCTGGGGACGCGCCTTGAAGAATATAGCATTTTATATGTTTTACTTTGGTGCCGCCATAAGCATGCAAAAATGCTAGTTTTTTAGCATGCCTAAGACAACGAGAACAAACTGAGTGTGACACGGAGCACTTCTAAATTCCACGTTCTTAAAGCTCCAGAAGAGATTCAAGCTACAGTAAGCTCTAACAAGCTCCACCCATACAAGCGCCAAGCTCCAAAAAACCTCCACTTATCTCCGTCGTCGCCAGTCCTCCCAGTCATCAGCCTTTGTCATTGCCGGTCCTTGTGGTCATCGCCGGTCATCCGTGTCGGTGCCAAGCTTATCTTTTTATCCACCTCAGAGCGTTCTGGAAGGATGGATGCTTAAGAATGAGGCATCTTCTTGACTCTTGCGAGGAAGATCGATGCAAGCAAGCCCTCTAATCAAAACTTTTCCAACCCACAATATCAAAATACACGCATTTTATCCTAATAGAAAAGTGTTAAGAAAATTTACATTGCAATGATTCAATTACATGCACAGCAGATGATGGAAATACAATGCATAATTAGAGCTTGAAGAGTTTTTTTGATGTGGTCCAAGCCATATTCAAACACAATAGGCATCCAAGCAGGCAAAGGTTATTATTATTTCAACAAGTTATTTCTCAGTCGACTTCGGCAGGAACAAGATTGACGGTCCTTGCGTAGGTTCTGATGGACTCCCAGACCTGTAAGTGGTCGATGTTATCAAGGAGTGCTGGACTTCCCTGGACTTCAAGCACTGTAGTCGTTATTCCCACAATTGAGCGCAGCACTGCATAGAGGCGGCCTGAATCGCCACCCACCGTAGAGACTTGGAGCACTTCTGTCACTGAAGGATCCTCGGACGTTATGCTGTTTAGCTGCTCCTGCATAATCGAAAGTGATTCCTCCTCAAAGTCGATCTCGGAAAGACTCATTTCCGCCAGTGCAAAGGGGCCCTCGAGTTTGAGGTTCTGAAAACCAGAAAGGTTCAGTTTCTTCAAGCTTGGAGCAATGATCTTGATCTCGTCGTAAATCTCCCCCTTTGCCCTTGAAAAAAGAACAGCAACTAGTTAGAGTTTTAGGCACCAGAAAATGTTGGAGCACACTTACTTAAAGCGAAATGACGTGAAAAAATCGTCAACTCCACAGAGAAAGCACTTGTCATTGGAGCATCATCATCAGTGTCATCTTCGTTGTCAAAATCGACGTAGTAAATGCAGTCGATCATGCTGAGATTAGTGAGTGAGGGGCACCTTGCAAGGATACCATTCACCGTGATTGGGCTCAACATATAGAAAAGCTCTAGAGTCGTGAGCAACGGCCAGGCTATGCCAGGATGTGGCAGTTCAGGAGCAATGATAAAGCCCTATATAAGAAACAATATCAACGAGAGATGATGATCCAACAACCAAATATACCTTAACGTTAAGCTCCACAAGGCTTGGCAACGGAATAAGCTTGATTTCGCCTTGGATCTCGAAGCCTTCAATGACGAGTTCTTTTAGCTCGCCAAAAGCTGGAAGTGAGAGCACGTTTTGAAACAATACCTTCCGAGATTTTTTCCTGTTGTCGCCATTGATTTATCTCAAACTCACGACCTGTCTCTGCTAGAAACTTTGCATTTGATTTTATAGAAAACTAGCGCAACAACTATACCTTCCAAGACATTTTCCTGTTGCTGCTGAAGTTCATTCTGTTTCTTGTCATACTTCTGCTAGAAATTTGAGTTTTCTCGTGTAAAAAAGTAGCGCTTTCTCTTTGCAGAGATCAAATAACATCAACTTGCTAGTCATTCATTACTTCATTACTTACAGCTACAAAGTCGCCACCCTCCCATCCGAGATCACGCGCTAAAGCTCCGAGCAAGCAGAAGGGACGCTCCCTTCTCATTCTGAGCACTCTACAGAAACAAAGGGGAAGATAGTGGTGACTGAAGAGATATTTCTTGCTTACTTGAGAGCGTCAGGGATGACCATTTTCTTCACGACACCATACGGTGGAGGACAGCCATCGTACGCTTTGAAATTGCGGAGTGCACCCGCCCTCTTCGATCTGGGAATCATTCTAGATCCACAAGAAAAGAATTACCCACAAATGGTTGAAAGGAAAGACTCAACCTTTGATGACGCGCGCAAGAATGCCGGAAGGAGAGGTGTGGATCTTGGGGCCACCACGCCCGGGATGTGTGTTGCTGCGCCTCCTTAGAGCCCGATGATACTTCATCTTCTGGCGGATGATCCCCCCCGACATGCAAATGTTTTTGCGGACAATCACCTGAAAGAAAGAAAGAACGAGCAATCGAACAATCGCACTGCAATCGAATACCAAGCGCTGGCCTTTGAGAAGCTCCTTCGAGCAGATGGAAGCAAGGCGGCCGAGAATGTGGCCGTGTCCATCGATGACGATCTCCATCTAGCTCTTCTCCCTTGTGGAGAGGTGGCTAGGTCTGGTAGCGTGGAGCTAGGTGAAGAAAAGAAGCCACGTTTGCCGAGGATCGTTTACGGGAGACGATGTGCAGTCTGACAATCACGATTCGGAATATCCTTCACCTGGTAGACACTGTCTAGGCGGTTATTTTGTAGCTAATAGCTACGCAGTGTAGCGAGACAATCATAGCCGTGATCAAATTCTTCGAAACTTTGCCTTTCTGAAAATGATCAAGAACATGAAGCATATAGTAACTGAATGTCAGCAGACAGCTTAAAACGATTTAGTTTTCTTAATTTAGGGCTCTAGGAGCGGTCGCGAGCGCACAAAACTGTCAAGAAATATCTGCCACAGTCGATGAAGGCGACGTGGACTCAGCTGTTCTCCAGGCAATAAAAAATGATCAGGAGATCCTCCGGAAATTCATCGCCATTCTAACGTCTCTAGAACCGCGGCCAGATCTTTCCCACTTGGAAACCAGGACTGCGAAAGAAGCGACCAACAGCGTGACCTTAATTAAGCGAGTTCATGGGGGGAGTTTCGGAAAGCATGGATTTTTCGTTCGAGGATACTTCCTTGCTAGCGGTGAAGCAGCGAAGGCATGGCTCCATCTAAAACTAAACACGATCGACTCAAACGTGGATCGGTATTATTCTCAAGAGTTACAAGTGACCAAAAACTATAAGAGGTGAGAGTTTATAGGTCGTCAGAGCGGTCGAGAAGGACGAGATTACACGCAAGTGGGATTTGAATTGGAGCAGCGGTGAAAGGATCCAGCGTTCTCAGATCCCAATGCGAACTGTTGGAGGAGTTTGACCTCTCTGCTTTGATCAAGGAACACAGTGAACACAGTGAATCAAACTGGAATCATCAAAAGAGGAAAAGGGAACAGGATTTCTTACTTGGCGATCGCGATCTCCGCAGTGAGCCTCATAGATGATTCTCGGAACCATCTGGTCTTCCCCCAGGAAACAAGAAGACAATGCAGGAACTTCCGAGGCGGCGGGGGCGAGATCCGGGGGATTGTCATCGTCGTCGTCCCCATACACGAAGACAAACTTTGCGAACAAAGAATCTCGCAGTGCCATTGAGGACTTCTTCTTGAGAAAGAAGAGAGTGAGCAAGAAAGCGAAAGAGGGAAGAGAGAAAATAGAATAAACACTGAGATTCAGTCCCCGCAGTTCACGGTAGAAATACACGGGCATATAATCTACGTGGACGTGCCAGGCCGAGGTGGCAGCTGAGGTGGCCGTGGGGCCGAGCTATCCACGCATCGCCTGCATGGTGCTCGTGCAAGCCACGCGGATGAGACGTTCCTTTGCTACCCACGTATGCAGTCGTGTTTGACCCTCTTTGACTAAGGTTGACTACGGCATTGACTTGTAGTTGGGATTTCCATTTTTCTCTAAGTTTGGAGCTACCAAACTATAAGGTTGGATGCAGAATCTTTGGAGATTTTTGTTTCGTGGATCGTGCAATGCTTTCCTTTGCATCCAAGCGATATACATTGCTAAGTAGTACGTAAGAGGACGAAGAATCGCGAGTTAGCATGAATTGGGCGGCGTTTTTCCCACGATCCAAATCGACATGGCTCTTGCACGAAGACAACAGGCACGTCCATTCCAAAGCATCAGCTGCGAAGGGCATTGTTTCGATCAGCTCAATCGCGTCTTCCAGGTATCCGGCACGGGCCAGGAGGCTCAGTACACAGAGGTAGAGCTGTTTCGTTGCATCGATGCCGAAATCTGCGATCATGGACGTGAAGCACGCCTTGCCGCAGCGAATGTTCCCGGAGTCACTGCAAGCTACGATGAAAGTGCTGAAGCAGCTGTCAATCGGGAAATGGGTCAGCTGCATTGATGCAAAAACAGCACTAGAGTCAAGTTGGCAGCGAGCGAAGGCAAGTGAGATTAGAGACCAGGATACTGAATCTCTCTCGGGCATTGTCTCAAAGAGCTTTTTCGCTTGATACAAATGCCCAATGGCGGCAAATGCTGACAGTGCGGCGTTCCAAGAAATTAAGTTTTTCCCCGGAATTTGATCAAAAAACTGTTTCAGTTCGTGCATAAGACCATTTACGTAGTATGCATTTAGCATTGTGTTCCATGCTATGAGGTCTTTTTGTGGCAGCTGATTAAACAAATTCTTAGCTTCACTAAGATACCCTTTTATGGCGTATGCTGAAATTAAAGATGTCCAGGAGACCAAGTTTCTCATTGGCATCTGGTTAAAAATAATAAGCGCTTCCTCTAAAATAAAGTTTTGAGCAAACATCGTGACCATAATTGTCCACGAAACTACGTCTTTTTCGTTCATACTATTAAACAGAGCAGATGTTTCCTCCAGATGCCCGCTCAGGGCATTTGCAGAAAGAAGAGCGTTCCAGGCAATTAAATCTCTCTCGGGAATCGTCTCGAAAACTTTCTTCGCTTCTGTCAACTTATTGTTTTGAGAGAAACATACAAGCAAGACGGTCCAGGAGATAAGATCGTGCTGCGGCATCTCTTTGAAAATCGCCTCTGCGATATCAACTTGCCCATCACGGGTATAAGCAGACAAAATCGCGTTCCAGGAAACAAGATTGCGCTCAGGCATCAGATCAAACTCCATCTTTGCATTCGCCAATTGAGAATTTTGGGTGTAGCAATCGATCATGGTGTTCCAGGAAACCAAGTCCCTGCCTGGCATGGAATCAAAAATCCTCTTGGAATCCAACCAGTTCCCTTGTTGGGCATGCGCAGCGGCAATGGAGTTCCACGAAACAAGATTCCTCTCAGGCATGGAATCAAAGATCCTCTCCGCCTCGGCGAGAAATCCCGCCCTGACAAACGCGCCCAAGATCGAATTCCACGACACCACGTCCCAGACAGGCATCTGATCGAACACCCGCCTGGCAGCCTCCGGATTGCCGCTCCGCGCATAGGCAGTGATCATCGCGTGCCACGAATAGCAATCCTTGCGCCTGATCGTGTCAAACACCGCACGGGCATCGCTCACGCTGCCGCATCTCCCATAAACTCCGATCAGCCGGTTGTGGAGGAAGACATCGTCCTCGGATCGAAGCATCGCCTGGATCTTCCTCGCCGTCTCCAAATCCTTGCAAGAGTCCATGAGAGGAAGAAGATGCCCTAGTCCCATATATTTCAAGATTAGTGTGTCATCCTAGTTCCTCGATGAGGTGATTCCATCCCTTGTGGTAACTCGGAAGAATCCTAGTTGTTATAGCCAACGCAGCTTGAACCTTTGTTCTTGAGAATATTCACATTTGGGGTCCTCGACGGGCTCTGTGCATAGGGAGTTCAAGTCCAGCCCCCAGCATCAAAGTTGTTCAGAGTCTGCTATCTCCTATAACTCTTGTATGGTGCCATCTGCCAGCTTTTGGTTTGGTATACGAAGTACCTGCTGTAGATGGATCGATTCCTTCCAGAACACTCATTTCTTGAGGTGGATAAAAGGATATAAAGCTTTTCGTTTGGGATCACACAATAGACTATAGGCTACGTAATTTCTTTTACCACTGTGGAGATAAGGTGGTGGTCAAATCATATACTATCGAGAAAAATATTAAAACTCTGACTAGCTACATTGTACCAGCTATGCACCACACAAGCGTTTAACCAAATCACATGATTCCAGAACTAAACAAAAAAGTAAAAGGTATAAAACGGCATATTCCACGCCTCGTCGGCCTTGGTAAAAGAGGTAGAGCGGTGAAGTGGTCTTTGGGGTCCATTCTTCTTCGAGGCGCCGGGAGCCACTCTTGACCCTCCACCTCGTCAATTCCTCGAGAGATTCAAGGAGGAGGTGAGATTTGGCCTAAAATGGCGCTGGAACTTGATCGTGTTCTTCCAGTTTTAAGTTTTTCGCTCGCGATCGCGCCCAATTTGGCCGGTTTTTGCTCGAATTTGGGGGAGGATTCCAGAGGGAAATGGCGCCCGTCTCAACGATCGAAACGTTCGAAGAAGCGCAGGAGATCTTCCTCCAGAAGATCAAGTGAGTGTGGTCGTATGCTTTGTTTTTCTTGGTGTTTGGTTGTTCTGCCACTGTTTAATTCTCAACCGTTTAAACAGGGAGGATCCGCGTCTCAAGCCGGTTGCCGCTAAGAAGCTCTTGGATCTCGCCAAGGAGCTCGATGCGAGCACGGAAGAAAAACTGGGGGATTTGTCGCTCCAGCTTCCGGCGGAGGAAAGAATCAAGCAAGGATTTCTCAAGTTCAAAAACAACTTCTGGCTGTACGTTTATTGTCACGCTTCTCGCATTCTCGAGATTTATGTCGTTTCTCCTTTCGCAGTAAAAATCCAAAGCTCTACGAGAAACTTTCAGCCGGTCAATCACCCAAGGTAGAGAAGAACATTGGATAATCTCGCAAGGACCAAGAAAAAACCATTTTTTTTTTCCCGTGCGCAGTTCATGATCTTCGCTTGCTCCGATTCGCGAGTTTGCCCGACGACGATCTTGGGGCTCCAGCCGGGCGAAGCATTCGTCGTTCGCAACATCGCCAGCATGATCCCAGCGTGTGGCGAGGTAGCTCAGCTATGAAACGTTTGATCTTCCTTTCGTTTTTCGCTAAATTTCAGGACTTTTCTTCGCAGGCTGGATTTCCAAGCACAAGCGCGGCTCTCGAATATGGAGTTTTACACCTCAAGGTATAATATAAACTAGGAGAAGAAAAGTTGGACCTTTTTCTCTAAAGTTTGAGAATATCTGATCACCCTTCGCTTTCATGGAGGTGGAGCATATCCTAGTGATCGGTCACAGCCGGTGTGGAGGAATCAAGGCTCTGCTGACCACAGACCCGGAGAAGAAATGGAGGTAACGTAAATTCCTCGCTCGCGAATCGCTAGAACTCCGTGTAGCATTTGAGTTTGGAGCGAGTCCAGCGAAGCCAAGCATTTGAGTTTGGACCATCTTCTGAATGGATTTGAATCGGTTTACTGCAGTGACTACATCCAGGACTGGATTAAAATCTCAACTCCTGTTCATTCCAACCAAAACCACTCGCACGATATCGACGAGCGATGCTCTTGCGGTGAAAAGGTAAATAAAAAAGAGTCTTTGATGGTTTTTTCGCAAGCTTTTTTCTTCTTTGTTCTTGGCAGGAGTCAGTGAACGTTTCGCTCAGCAATCTCATGACTTTTCCCTGGATTAAATCGGCGGTGGAGGAGAAGAAGCTGGCTCTTCACGGCGGCCACTACAGCTTTGTCACTGGCACCTTCCAATACTGGACTCCCGGGAGCGACAAAGTCGACTTTTAAGAGCCACAAACGCGTACCATATCTATAAAGAAAGAAGACTCGAGAGAAAGAGTGAAAAAAGAATGATCCAATAAGTAATAAGAACCTTTCACTCTCACGAACACATAGCCTTCTCCACAACCTCTTTAAGCTGTCCGGATTGAAAGGCCTCTGGCAAAAAAGAGAAAAGCGAGGAGAATTCTTGAGCTTGATCGATCGATGGAGAGGAGATAGCTAAACTTACCGAGAGTGATATCGCAGCCACCAAAGAACTCGCCATCGATGTAGAGCTGTGGAAAAGTGGGCCAGTTGGAGTAGGCCTTGAGGCCCTGGCGGAGGCCATCGTCCTCCAAGATATTCACGGTCTCGTACGGAACGCCCAGGTTATTGAGGATCTGTACGACCGTGTTGGAGAAGCCACACTGTGGGAACAGCTTGGTGCCCTTCATGAAGAGCACGACCTTGTGCCCCTTGACGAATTTCTCCACCGATTCCCGCAGCTCGGGCGTCAGCGCTGCGGCAATCCGGGAAATCCATGAGAAAGAATGCGCGCATGGGCTCGATCGACTTACATGCTCTGCAAATCAGGGCTCTCCCTGTTCTTCCAGCTGCGAATTGGCGGCGCGGCGAGGCGATGCATGGCACTCGCAAGGATTTCCTGGGAGAGATGGAGATTACCGCATTGGAGCCGCTGGCTGTGGCCCTGGAGGAAGCGATTGTGGCGCCGAGGCCGGAAGAGGAAGAAGCAGCAAGGAAATTGGCCGCCATAGCCTCCATGACCTAAAATTTCAGCTCGAAACACCACACCTTTTGTATTATATATTTACAACAGGCCTGGGAAAAAACCCACGAAGAGGAAAGCCAAGAAAAAAGAAAAGACAATGCACAAGAAAAAAAGAAGAGAACCTTCACTTACCGGTCAGGAAGGACGCTCTTTCTGGATCGAGTGTAAAATCTCAGCAGCGGACTCGGCAGTGACCGGAGCTGCTCTTGGAGTAACTTTGATCGCCTTGTGCGATCCCTGGCTCGATCGCTGCTCTTTGCTGCTGCTGCTGCTGTTCTTCACGCTCTGGAATCCAGAAGGCCGAGAATACGGAGACACTCCATGCTCGCTCTGGCCACCGCTTTGATTCTCTCCGCAAAACCTTCCCACAAGCTTTTGCCTCGGTTCTTGGTGCTGCTGCCTGCGATTCTCTGCTGCTGGCGATGGAGCTGGAGCTGGAGCTGGAGACGAGCTATCGGCTCGCTGGATGAGACTAAAACCCGACGAGGAGCCTTGCGAGCGGAGATGGATGCCGCGATCCTTGCGAGACTGGTGATCGTCGTGGATCGACGAAGCTTGCAAGCTCGACTCCGCCGCTGGCGGACGATAAGTTGCTCCGCCGGGAGGATTTACGAATCCCATCCACTGGAGAGCAGCCGGATCCGAGTATAAACTTCCGGGAGGAGGCTGCTGCGGCCATGGCTGGAGCTGGACTGGAGGAGACATAAACTGCCTTGGATCTGGAGGAGGAGGAAGAAATGGAGGAGCAGCGCCGCCGCCATACAGCGGAGCTGGGTAGTATGGAGTGTTGAAAACTTGCGCTGTGACTGGAAAAGTTTGCTGGAATGGAAACTGAAACGGTAGAGGAGCGTACCATTGGTTGTAAGCTGGGTGGTAAGTTGCGTAGTTGATGGTGTTTGCGGCTTGGATGGGTCGAGGATGAGTGGTATAGTCGTAAGGTGTTGTTGACAAAGGTTGAGTCTGTGATGGAGTTTTTGGAGCCGGAGCTTGGTCGGGTTTTGGATCGGGCTTGCTAGTTTTTGGAGCTTCGCCACAGTGAGTCGGCTCGCTCCCGACTCGTTTGTCAGTTTTTTCGTCTTGTGTTTTTGAAGGATCACTTATCTTGGAGTTTGCCATAAGATGCTGGACCTGAAAAAGAAAAAGAAAAAAGAGAAGCAAAACACATCAAAGACTGCTCTTTTTTTCTACAAGGCTTGCTTACCTTGGTCAATCGATGCAATTCAAACAGCTGCTTTTGAAAAATGGTTTGCTGCCTAGAAGTTCAAAACAAAATGGTACTTGGAAAGAAAAAGAAGAAGAAAAAAATACCGAGAGACAGCAAAAACTAACCTTTGCATAGCCTTGCGCATTTTCCAAAACTCCTCGTCGCCAACGGCAGACATGATCTCCTTGGAAGTAATAGCTGAAGGAGCGGCATTGTTTTCCACAACCGAAGTCGCAGAATCGTCACTGGCTTCCACTTCCTCTGGAGAACCACGCCCCTCAAGCTCCTCGTCAGACTGATTATCTATCCGCCCATTGTCTTCGTTGCTCTCGTAGCTATGGCTGGGTGATGACGACGCCATTACACGAACTTCGCTTCCATTTTCTTGATCACCCAAGTCTCCAGGAGCTCTATTTCTCGGCCGTGAATCTTTCCTCGCCTGCGTTGTCTCCCGAACTTCAACTTGTCTCTGAGACTTCGTAGCGCTAGTACTCGCGTTGGAGGGAGCCACAGAAGCACTAGCGAAGAGCTCCTGTTTAGAAGATCTTGCGGGGACTGCTGCAGGCTTCGAGGGATACGTTGGCACCGCTGCAACGTCGTCCACCCTTGGAGCTCCAGTCTTCGTCTTGCCCGATCTAGCTCTCGAGTGCAAAGAGGGAATTCGAGCAAGCTGCCTGTTACTACTACCGTCACCTGGAACTTGCTGGAGCTCCCTTTGCTCAGTCTCGTTCGCAACACTCTGGCTATGTTGTCCCAGCACAACATTCATGGGCTGGAAAGCCACCGGAGAAGGAACCATGTAGTAAGGAAAATAGTAGCCTCCATTGAGTGCCTGTAGAAAAGAAGAACTCCTCAGTCTTTCTAGAGCTCACCGGCGAGATCATAGGCTCGAATTTGCAAACCTGAGGCACAAAAGGCTGCGGTGGAGCTCCATCGCTTTGCTGCTGCTGGCATCTGTGAGAAGGTACTGTGAATTGCTCGTAAAGAGCCATTTTGTTTCTGGGCGGAGCGCGAGGACCCGCGTTCTTTGTCTCTTTGACATGGAGACGAGGGAAGAGAGCTCCTCCAGGAGGGGCATTCTTATCCTCCATGGGATCCACTCCACTCTGCCCTAATGCGAAAGCGGACCGGGATATTTCTAGCGACACACGTGGCGCGCTCCTAGTGGCACTTAATGCACTTTCCTCTGTAGACCTGCTAGATAGCCTAAATCTGACGGCTGATTTCGCATAGCATTGGACGGCTTGGATGGTCGTCCCCGTTGTAAATACCACGTGCCTAATGTAATAAATGATGGCATTATAAAGGTACAGCTATTTCGAAAAAGGGTAAAAGATTTTGAAATTAACAAATAGACCTAATTTTGAATTGCGGGTATATTCGTTGAGAGCGTAGGGCTTGTCTCTCTCTCATGGCGGCTTTTGTCGCGCTGCTAGCGCTGTGCCTTTGGACGATGATCTTCGCGTAGATCGTGAGCTCGCACACCGTGATCGTCATCGGAGGTGGGAGATCTGGAGGAGCTTGCTGCGGGTGCCGATGTCTGGTAAGTTCTTCCGATCTCGCTAGTTTTTTCTTGAAATTCTTGCCCATTCTTGGATCGAGCTAGGAATTATGGCCGCCAAGACGCTGGCGGACAGCGGAGTGACGGATTTCCTGATTCTCGAGGCGACGGAGAAGATTGGGGTGAGAATGCGGTCCCAGAAATTTTAACGTCGAGCTGGGAGCTAACTGGGTGGAGGGTGTCAATGGGGCCAAGACAATCCCATCTGGGAGCTTGCAAGGCTTCATAACTTGCGGACTTTCTTCTCGGGCTGGAACATCACGGATAACATCTACACTGACAAGTTTCGTACGTTTGGTCCTTTGTTCTCTCGAGCTCCAAACGTTTTCCTCTTTCCTAACGTTTTTTTTTTTTTTGCTCTTTCAGGGGTCGTTTGCCAACTTCTGAGGCTCAAGAAGTATACCAGAGATCTGTGGGAGTTTGCAAACAAAATCGGACTTTCAAAACAGATGAACAATGAACCATATCTCTATTTTAACTGCCGAGCGACTCTGGTTCAGATACTAGTTTGATCTGGGAATCTACACGAAGACGTTTCTAAAGCTCCCTTACAGCTTTTGGCCAAACAATAACAGCTCGTCTGTGTTCATCTATGCCGACGAGAGAAGGGGCTACTATCCTCATTGGCAGGTAACTTAGTCTTCATTTCCTACTTTAAGCAGGTTGATTTCCAAAAACATTGCAGCACTTGGAGCAAGAATACACCGGATCGAACATCATATTTGCGAAAGTCACCGACGAATCACGGCGTATCGAACAGCAGTCTGACGAGCACACAAAAGCCGAGATGATGGCTGTCTTGAGAAAAATGTTTGGAAACTCCATTCCAGAGCCCGACGAGGCACTGATCCCGAGGTGGTGGAAAAAGAAATACTTCCAGGGCTCGTTTTCGAACTGCCCGATCGGAGTAGGCGACTCCGAGTTTGAGGCAATCAAGGTAAGGTGAGCTCTTTTAAAGTTACTTATCTTCATTCTTCTTTTATTTTCCTAGGCTCCAGTTAGTCGACTAAGATACAATGGCTATTATTTCAGTGGTAAGCTTTTCCCCTTGAATTTTCTTAAACATTGGAACCATCGAATTTTATACTTTTTCCATAGGAATCGAGAGTGCCAAGCTTTTGCTCGAATGCCATCAAACAGGCAATTGCAACACTGTTCTTGCATGGTCATGCATTGTAGAAAGAATATACCCACTATTCTTTATATGACGTGGCGTTTTTATTTGACTTGTGCTCAACCCAGTGTTTTCCAGAAAAAAAGTAGCTAGAGCGAGCAAGAACCCTGATTGGAATGCCGCCGCCGCCCCACAGCGGTTTTCCCCAGCGATTCTCTCCCAGGTACGCTCTCGCGACGCGATCTCTTAAGCCCTAGGCAGGGATTTGAGATCCAGCGCTCCGTCGATCGGCCGATCGATCGAAATTTCTCAAATTTTCTCATCCCCAGGCTCCTACGGCGATCCTGATCTGGAAAGAGGAGGGCAATCGGCAGCGGCAGCCATGGGCAGAGCTACATTTCCACTGCTAATTCTCATCACGGTGGCGCTGTTCATCGCGACGCACAACACAGTGTCCATGGTTTTCAAGCATCGCGGCGAGATGAGCGATCAAAAGGCCATGTCCGTCATGGATGGAAATCCCGCGGGTGGAGTGGACACCTACGATCCCTTGATCAAAATGCCCCGGTCTTTCAAGAACTCCAAGAAGAAGAAGAAGAGGATGTTCCACACGGTGATGACCGCTAGCTCCGTCCCTTACAACAATTGGCAAAGCCGGGTCATGTACTACTGGTATAAGCAGCAAAAGGAGAAGGCCGGGTCGGAGATGGGTGGATTTACGCGCTTGCTCCACACAGGAAAGGCCGATCACTTGATGGACGAGATTCCTACGTATGTTGTCCAGCCACTTCCCGAGGGAACTGACAAGGTAGAGTTTTCGTTTTTTTTTCTTTTGCCTCGTAAGTTTTGCTCAAGCATTTCGTTCTTTTGTCCAGGGATTTGTTGTGTTGAATCGTCCATGGGCATTCGTGCAATGGTTTCGGGACGTTGAGATCGAAGAGGAGTAGGCATTTTGTGTACTTTGTTTTCTTTTTCAATACTGATTTTGGTTTGTGTGCTTGCAGCTATGTATTTATGGCAGAGCCAGATCATATTATTATCCGGCCTATTCCAAACCTTTCCACTGGCGAACTTCCCGCGGCCTTCCCATTCTTTTACATTGATCCTAAACAGTTCCAGAAGACCCTGCGTAGATGGTATCCTGAAAGCAAAGGACCGATCACTAACATTGATCCTATAGGTAACTCCCCGGTTATAATTAAGAAGGTACACAAGGTAGTTCCGTTTTCGTCGTCTCACAGCTTCTTTGGATGCAGTCACTTCTCAAAGAGATTGCTCCGACGTGGATGAATGTTTCGTTGGAGATGAAGAACGATCCTCAAGCTGATAAGGACTTCGGTTGGGTGCTCGAAATGTAAGTATCAATTCAATCAGTGTTTCCACACGACTCAGCGTTTGATTTTTGGAACTCAGGTATGGATATGCAGTCGCTTCTGCAATGCACGGTGTCCAGCACGTACTCCGGAAAGACTTCATGCTCCAGGTAAAACTACTTTCTGTCAAGTTTTTCTCCGCAGTACTCTCAAAACTGCTCGTCCAGCCTCCATACGACACGAAGCTGGAAAAGAAGTTCATCATACACTACACGTACGGTTGCGACTACACGCTCAAGGTAGGCGTTTACTTAGATGCAGAAGAGAGATTGTTCGACCTTACATTGATTGTGTTCCAGGGAGAGCCCATGTTTGGTAAATTTGGTGAATGGAGATTCGACAAGAGATCTTACACACAAGGCGCTCCACCAAGAAATCTAACAATGCCACCGAAAGGAGTTCACGAGAGTGTGGTAAGCATCCAGATCTACTGCGAAAGATATGAAATTCTTTCCTTGTTTGCGCGCCAGGTAACTCTCGTGAGAATGATCAACGAAGCCACAGCAAACATTCCAAACTGGAAAGAAGGCGAAGGATAGTTTACACGCAATTCATCAAAGTTTTGCTTTGTTCAAAGAATATTCTAATATTCCATTTCCAGCAAAATTAGCGCATGGTTTATAAATAGTCACGACCACGATCCTGATAAACCCTAGTTCCTCGCGATGGCCTTCCTTGCGATGGCGCCATCCAATGCGGGCTTCGATTCGTTCCACATGCTGCGCGCCGCGGAGCTCGCCGATGGATCGGCGGGCCACACTGCGCCGCATCCCAATTCCGCGTGCGTGATCGCCCGGAGCGAGAAAGTGGTGGGCGAAGCCTTTCTCTATGGCCAAGGCACTCGCTGCGCGGAGATCCAGGCAGTGGAGATGGCTGGAGAGCTCTCGCGAGGAGCCACGGCGTATCTCAATCTGGAGCCAGGGGATTGTCACGGCGATGACACGGCGATCAAAGCTCTCAAGCAGGTAAGAAGTTATTTGTGTGTTCTTCCTCCCAAGTTTGATCTATTTTCTTTCTTTGTGTAGAGTGGAGTGGCGAGAGTCGTGGTGGGATTGCAACACCCGCTAAAGCATCACTCCGGGAAGGCGATCGCGGCTTTGCGCGGCTTGGGAATTCCCGTGGATGTTCTTGAGAAGCATGGTGATGGCACGTTTAAGGTATTGTTCCTCTGTTCTTGGTTTGTCTGAAGAACTCTATAGTCCGGTTTAGGAAGCTTTCAGAGCCTGCCAAGAGGTAAATGCTCCTCTTCTTTACAGAGCTACGCATGGGGTTCCTTTCTCGATATTGAAATACGCAATGACACTGGATGGTATAGTTCCTTTCGTTTCGAGCGCTCTTAAGAATCGTGTTTCTTCGCAGGGAAGATTGCTGCCAGTACTGGCCATGCGTCCTGGGTGAGCAGCAAAATGTCTCGTCAGCGCGTCTTCGAGACGAGAGGTCGAAGTGATGCGATCATCGTCGGAGGAAACACCGTACGTCGAGATAGTAAGCATACAGAATTCTGGTTTTCAATTTTTTAGCACACAAGAGCATGAAGTCTAAAGTGTTACAGATCCGCGACTGACCACCAGACAAGAAGGCGGACACTTACCAGTTCGCGTGGTCATGTCGAGAACTCTGAACTTGCCTTTGGAGCTCCACTTGTGGGATGTTTCAAATGCTCATACGATTGTTATGACGCAAAGGGGTGCTCGGAGAGAGTTCCAGAGGGAGCTTGTCGCGAGGGGTGTGGAGGTGGTGGAATTCGATTTTCTCACACCGAAAGCTGTAATGGATTACTGCTACGAGCGTGGATTCCTCTCGGTTTTATGGGAATGTGGAGGAGCTTTGTCAGCTCCGGCACTAGCTGCTGGTATCATTCACAAGGTGAACCGCATTTTTTTTCTATCTTGCTTCTTTCGTTTTTGTTTCTTTGTTTCATGTTCTCTTGTTTTTGAGCAGGTTATTGCGTTTGTTGCTCCAAAAATCATTGGAGGAGTGACTGCTCCAACGCCTGTTGGTGAGTTGGGAATGGTGGAAATGACACAAGCTTTAAACCTGCTCGACGTGACTTTCGAACAAGTAAGCTCTTATCAAAACGTTTTCTTTTCCCCTTACTCCGAGCTTTCTGAAGGTTGGCCCAGACATGTTGGTTTCGGGATACCTTAAGCCGATTCCGCGCATGAAATCACCTGCTTCTGCCTATGCAGACGATCCCTCGATTGCAGACGCTGGAATTTTCTCAAGCTCCACTGTGATCTACTTCTACAAGTCGTGGGATCCATACGGTGCCTTTACGAACTTCACAGCACACTCAATTAAGCTACCTGGCTCTAGCGAGACGTGGAAAAGCGTCGAGCACTACTACCAGGTTTTCCTTTGACGTTCACTAGCAATTTGTTGATCGGGTTTCTTTCTTTCACATAGGCACAAAAGTTTAGTGGAGTCGAGGACGAACTGGCAATGCAAGCTATAGAAAATATCAGAAATGCTGAAAGCCCAGAAGAAGCAGCTAGAATTGGAAGACGCTTAGCTCGCGAACGTCCTGATCTGGTAAGCTTTGTTCTCTCGGTTATAAAACAAAAGCTTCTTGCAGGTGAGGCCAGACTGGGAAAACTCCAAGATGGACGTGATGGAAGAAGCGCTGGTTGCAAAGTTTTCGTCCTACCCGCAGCTGCGAAGTTTGCTGCTGTCAACAGCTGGTTGTGTGCTGATCGAGTCGTCCCCGCATGACTACTTTTGGGGGTCTGGCAAAGATGGCACGGGACAAAACCAGCTGGGCCGCTTGCTCATGAAGTTGCGAGCCACGATTCTTACAGAGAACCAACACCAGCTCTCTTGAAGCCTTTGTATATTTCAGGAGCTTATTTATTTTGAACACAAATAAGTAGATCATTCTTTTGTAAAGTCAGATAATTTTTTTAAACAAAGAATAGAGGGTTTCAACATCTGCCAGCAACTAAACAAAAAGAGTTTTTAATTTTTAATTTTTTAATTTTATTTTGTTTGTTCATTGTTTTAGCTTTTAAAAGCTCAAGTATAAAGTGGTAACCTTTAAAAAATCAAATATAAAGTAGTATTTTTAAAGTAATCAATTTAAAATTTTACTTTCATAACGCATTTTACATGAGCACGAGCGATCATCAGGGTTACATGAGCTAAAAGAACTAACACGTCCAAAAACAATGTTGTTAACATTGTATATTTTGGGAATTTATACATTTTATTTATTTTGAACACAAACAAATAAGTTATTCCTTTACAAATATTAGTAATTTTTTAAAGTAAATGATGGAGTTTTAGGAGCTTATGCATTTTATTTATTTTAAACATAAATAAATAAGTTATTCTTTTGCAAAGTTTGTAATGTTTTTAAGCAAAAGATGGAGGCTTAATATCGGCCAACAATTAAATAAAATATTTTTTAATTTTTACTTTTTTGTATTTTCTTCTTTAAAAGTTCAAATATAAAGTGGTAACTAAGATTGATCTTAATAGTTCTGAACGGCAACTGGCCGTGAAAGTGTCGAATTGCCGAACGGTTTACAAATTTTTTTTGATAAAAAAATTTAATTTTTTAGTAAAACTAAACTAATAAAAGTAAAAAACCAAAGCATTAAACCAAACTACTATTCATTTTCTTCAACATTTTGAGCAATTTTTTAAAAATCTCTAGCATTTTCCTCAATAATGACACCCTCATTTAGAAGATTTTTTTCGGCTAAATCCTTTATACCAAAAGATTCAAGCCTAATTTGCATCTTTATAATCCTCATTTATTGTGATTTAATTGCAATTGTGTCAAGATAGATCTCTAAAAATTTCATTCCTTCACTTTCAACACAATCCACCACTTTGGTATTATTTTGCATATAAATCAACTTTTTCCACGTTCTCCAAAAGTAAGCAATTGTGTCATTTACTCCAATTTTGATTACATGGAGAAGAGTACACTCCTTAACCTAACACACATGAAATGTTAACTTTTTGAGTTTATGCATCTCATATTGCTATAGAAGGTAAAGACAAAAAGGTATTTATGATTTGTTTTACAAACATTTGGTAAACTTAGTTTTGAATATGAAGAAGAATGTTTGAAACACTATATGCTTCAATGTTATGCTTAAAATTTTTAACAAGATCCATTTTAATTTGTTTCGACTGCTATACATTTTTCCACAATAATTACATTTTCAATGCCTAATTCCTTTGCTAGAAGCATAAGGAGTGAGTTTGACAACATGGGACTATGCCCAATCAGGCACCATTACTCAACTATGCCAGAATCACTAGAATCAAATTGCTAAAATCACTAGAATCGTAATTTTCATTTTATGGCAATTATGATTCAAGCATCACACACTGGGTGATTTGTGAGGCCTCAGTGAGCTACTCCACACTCAATCGAAAGCAAAGGCTAACTGATTGAAGAGTGTTGCCCTAGAGAGCTCGGTACACACGCAGCTCCTATAGCCCTTTTGGTCAGATTTGATGTAGGCTTGCTAGGTTGGGCATTTGTGGATGGATTGCTCCATAGCAGCAGGAGAACTAGCAAAGCAGTGGAGATGCAATGGCAATGCAGTAGCATCTGAAATCTAGTTCTTGCGAGCACAATTGCCATTAGAATTGCCAACTGAATGGAATTGCATTCGGCCGACTGCGTTCGGTGGCGGTCGGGATCCTGTGGTGGTCGGGATCCTGCTGAACGCAGTCGGGACCAACAGTGGGGCCCACTGGTAGCCTTTAAAAGATAAGTATAAAATGATATCTTTAAGGCAATCAGTTTAAGGTTTTGTTTTCCTTTACGGGCACGAGCACAAAAAGGGCTACACAAGCATTAGGGCTTAGCAATGACTTCTGATGCAACGCCAAAACTGGCGCATCTAGGTGAGTTGCAGAAGGGTGAGCAACTTGGGAAGCGCAGTCACTGGGACAACGAAGAAAAAGCGAGAAAATGTAGCCGGCATGAAGCTTCTTCTCGTAGCAGACATCCTGAAGAGTTTTCTCACATATGTGCTTGTGTGGGTCAAGATGCAAGGACGGAGGCAAGGTTTACATTGCTCACACAGCAGATTGCACGCTTGGAGGCGAGAATATCAGCTATGGAGCCTCTTGTCTTTTCTTCTAGGGGGATTACGAGATGCCAGTGTGCAGCAGGTGTTTTGGATGTGGCTATGAAGACCATGGATTGGAAGCTTCAAGAAGTTGTGCTTGATGCGCTGTCTGCAAAACTCGCAGTCAAAGGGCAGAAGTTCGTGGTTAGCAGGAAAGAGTTGCAAGGAACTAAGCAAGTCATGAAGAAACTCCAGCAGGACCTCATTTCATTTTCAGGATTTTTCCATCACGTTGAGAGGCAGGGAGAAAATTTTGACAAGGTAAATGTTCTCTTGGATGCAGCAACTGTTGCATTTGAGAAACAGGCAGGGATTGAGGGAAGCAGGCAGGGTTTTCAGCATTATCTTAGTAAGATCAAAGGTCTGTGTGTTGGAGGTGTTAATGCTATGGCTCTCTACAAGTATGACACAGTGAAGCCTCAAGAAATGCTTGCTCTGAAGCCACCAGAGATGATCAAGTTGTCAGTAGCAGACTACACTCTCAAGTTGCAACTAACAAGTGAGATTGAACGGTTTTTGGAAGAGGAGAATGGCAGAAGTACCAGTGAGCTTGAGAGTGCTATCCTGGAAGCAAAAGTATTTTTGGGCCAAGTGCTCAAGTGGTATAAGAACAAGCTAAAAGAGAACTTGGAGGAGTAGCGATTTAGAGAACTTGGAGGTAAGCTGCTCTAGAACGAAGCCTTAATCGCGTGGAACTAAACATCAAACCTTTTGTTCAACGGCTCAGCTTACTGTATCAAAACGTGTGGGGTGTTGGGGTTTGTGTGCAACAGCTGTTTAGTAAGTTAGCAAATATCTATTTCGTTCTTAATCCTCCATTCCATATCCTTGAATTGTTTTGACTCGAAGAACACAGCTTTTTTTTATCCAAGCTCATGAGGAGGACGAGTGCAAGAAGGTTTCTAGTCGTCTCATTCATTCACTCCACTTTCCCTTTATTTCGTTCTTCATTCACTCGGCGCTTGTATGGCCTCCTCGTCTCCGCGCAAATGCCCGTTTGCGGCATTCACAGTCTACCAAGGTGTAATTCCGCGGTTCCCGAGGGGGGTACCACGGTTGCAAAGTCGCGGATGAGAGCATTTAAAGTTCATCTTCCACTTCTTTCAATGTTTTTGAGGATTAATTTGGCGTAATATAACTTACATTCAAGAAAAGATATTTAAAAAATTTGCAAGAAGTTTTTTAATAAAAAATTATAAAGCATAGGAAAACAAGCTATGAATATTATGAACTTTAAATCTTGATAGTAGAAATTGATCAACATATGATCGTAATACCAATTATAATAAAATAAAAAATATAAATCTTTTTATCTGAAAATTTCTACCTTCTTTATAAGTATAGCGATGGCATAGAAGAAATTCAGATGGCCGCTAGGGTTTGTTCTACGAGGGTACTTGCGCCATGGGGGATGCTGCAGCGTCGAATTCCTGTGGCAAAATTTGCCGCATTCCCAACACCCCAAATAGGTGAGGGTGATGGTGATGTCGAGAGCAATTCCGCGGCGACGAGCATCGCTTATCTGAGAATGAGCGAGAGGGATTTAGTGGCACAGTGCAAAATGGATACATTTCGAGCAACAGGCCCCGGCGGCCAGCATCGCAACAAGACGGAGAGCGCAGTAAGGCTCAAACACCTCCCGACTGGCCTGGTTTCTCAGGTAAAGTAAATACCAGCAACACTTCTTCACGACTATTTCTTTGTTGATGTGTTGTACTCCCAGGCTAGTGAGGATCGTTCGCAGCATAGGAATCGCGACTCCGCTGTGCAGCGTCTCAGGCACACGATCGCAATCAAACGTGTAAGTTCGTTGGTTTTTCTCGAGATTGTCTAACGTTTTATGCTTTGCAGTGAGAAACCCCGTGAACTTGGAGGGGTACGTGGTAGCGCCGGAGCTCGCCCAGATTCTTCCTTTGAAAGAGACGAGGAAGTCTTCCAGGCAACTGGGTCCTAATCATCCAGACTATCTCTTGGTAAGTTGGGAGAGTTCTATTCTATTTTTCTCGAGAGAGAACTCTTCACGAGTTGCTCCTCGTCAATGACAGGGATTGCAGCTTCTTCTGGACTTGATCGATTCCGTGGGTGGCTCGGTGTCAATCGCCGCAGAAAAACTCGGGTAAAAACACAGAAGAGTCCCAGCAAGGTTTTGAGTAAATTTTGTTGCAAGATCAGGCTCAGCACGGGATTACTCTCGAAAGTTATTACCTCGGACAACTCGCTGCTCGTCGCTGTGAACGAGATTCGAGCGTCACGGGTAAGAAATCTCAATCTGGAAGAGCTCTCGTCTAACTCTTTGTTCTTTGTTCTTTCAAGGGGTTAAAACCGCTTAGAGCTTAAACGCGAATATCCAGGAGAATGTTCTCATGGAGGTTGCAAGTTCGACACCCGCGGGGGCCATATATTTATTTGTAAACTTTCCTTTTCGATGAACTGTCGCCGTAACATTTCCTATTCGTCAGTAGTACGGGCACACCGACAATTGCCGGAAGCGCACGAGCCGCACGATGCACTCCATCCGACGGTACCGCTCGTGCCACGGAATGGGCACTGCCGGCCGGCACCAGAGTGGCTAGAAAAAAAAAAGTGAGAGAGAGGAGCCCACCATCCGCATCAACGGTTACCTAGCGCCTGTCACGTTCTCTCATTTGGAGGGAGAGAGAGAGCGAGAGAGAGAGAGAGAGAGAGGTTTCTCACAGGGCTTCTCCAAAGCTCTCTAGGCTAGGGCGAGAGAGAGAGAAGAGGGCTTGGCATTCGTTCTCTAGGGTTTTTGGGGAAAGAAAAAAGAATGGTCTGTCGTGCTCTTCTTCTTGCCTAGTAGATCGCGCAGCGCCGTCGCCAGATCTGCTATCTCTCTTAGCTCGGGCGCCGATTCGATCCATCGCGGCTAGATTTGCGGGAGTTTCCCCAGGTTCGTGAAAATTTCTCGCTTGCCTTGCCTGCATTGTGTGGAGGATCTTCTTGCACTGTTGCTATACTGTTGCTTGCCTGCATCATCGTCGCCGCGGCCGCGCCGATCTGATTTTAGGGCCGGTCTCTCTAGGGTTTCGCAGATCTCCCTCGCTCGACAATGGGTCGCGGTGTGAGCAGTGGTGGAGGGCAGAGCTCCCTGGGCTACTTGTTTGGATCTGACGAGCCGGCCAAGTGCTCCAGACCTTCGGCCCCGCCTCCGCCGCAGCAGCAACCTCCCGCCGCTGCCGCCGCCGCCGCTGCTGCCGCGACGCCGCCTCCAGCCGGCATTTCGAGAAATCATCCCACTCCAACGCCCACGCATGCCCCGGCCGCTTGCAAGCACGAAGAGAATGGCGACGCTGGTGTTGTCAAGCTAGGCAGGAACAACAACAATTACCACCGCGCTGATGGCCAAAACACTGGCAACTTCATCACGGTAAGACCATCTCGGACCATTTTCTCTCTTCTTTCTCGATCTGTTCCACCGATGGAAGAACTAAAACATTCCTACCGTGTTCTTGTTCTAACAGGACCGCCCATCGACCAAAGTCCACTCGGCTCCCGGCGGTGGTTCTTCGCTCGGCTATCTCTTCGGCGGGAAGTGAGTGAGAGCCCGGCTCCGTGCCACGATACAATCTTTCTGTCTGGAAAGAAAGAGGTTTGGCACTCTTAATATCATGGGTGGTTGTGGTGTGTGAGCAAAGATCCGAAAACAAACCAAAAAAAATGGAGAAAACATTACTATACAGGCATTCCTCGTCGTAATAATTCCTGGAAAGTGTGTATGTATGTAGCAGCTATACTTTGCGAGCTGCAAAGACGATATCATCAAATCACAAACGTTTCGTTTTGGAAAAAAGATTTGTATATCACTCCATGGATGATACTTTATAGAAAATATCTGTATATCACTTCTTACTGTAGGACAAACAAAATGAAAACAATGTGGCTAGCTAGAGCTCGTCCCGGAGTGGAGTAGTCGAAGATTCATCCTCAAACGCTTGCGCTTGATCCGGGCTCTCGATCTTCCTCTCCTCCTCTTGTGTCGATCCCGAGTTACTGTCACCACCACCGCTGCTCGCTCCTGGATTTTCCTCTCCAACCTTTGGCTCCTCGGATCCAGCATCGTTCTTCACCACCTCCTCGATCTTTGGTGGCTTTGGTGCCTTCTGCGCGCCAGTCCTGGCAACCAGCGCTCTAAACTTCTCGATCCTGGCGTACACCTCGGTCGACGAGAATGCCGGCTGCTCGTGATCCGCCACCTTCGCCTGCTCGGACTCCTTGGCCTCGATCCAGTCCACCAGCTTCTGGCCCTCTTTTCGCACCTCCGCGTTGGAGATCCACGGCTTCTTCTCCTTCCACTCGTGGATGGCCGCCTCGGACTCCACCAACGAGCCCCGCGCGGCTTCCATCGCCGCTGGCCTCGCCGTGAGCTGCTCCAGCCTGAAGAAGATGGGATCGCCAATCGCCTTGAGCTCTCCCAGCCGCTTCTTAAACTCCGACGCCGTCGCGGCCTCCCCATCCGAGTAGAGCCACTCGCCAGCCTCGTCCAGCCTCGCCAGGAACTCCTGCCGCTGCTTCTCAGTGGATACCTTGGACAGATCCTTGATTGTGTCAAGCATCTCCTTGGTCGTGTAGATGTACGACTCGAGGTTGTTCTTTGCCTCTTCAGTCTGCCGCTTCTCGTCGTCGAGCTCCTTGAGCCTGTCGAGCCTGCTACGGAACTGCGCCACTTGATCCTCCGAGTAAGCACCAGTGTCCCGGAGAACCTCGAGTTTCGAAGGAATCCGGATCGTCTTCTTCTTCAGCTTCTTCTCCATGATTGTTTCGACGGGAGCCTGAGTCACGTTCTCCGCGACAGACGCATTGGAGGTGCTCTCCAGAGTGGTAGTAGCGTTGGTACTGACGTTGACAGGCACCTCGACCAACTCGGTAAATTCCACGACGGTCTCGGCGCGATCCAAGGAAAGCACCCCGCTTCGAGACAAGGCGAAGTGGAGCACACTCTTGATGGGAGCCGAGAGGTTGTAAGACGAGTACTTCGCGACCGAGTCCGTCACACCGGAGATCTTGAACGCCGCTATTTCCCGATCAATGATCCCCGGCGGCAGCTCTCCCTCTGGATCGTAGTGCAGAAAAAGCTCATAGTCCTCCTGCTGCTTCACAGCTCTCGCCAACTTGACTGGAATCCGCCTCAGCCTTGGAACCACCAGCTCATATGGCCCGTCATCGTTCACTTTCAGGACGACACCATAGGAAGCTCCATCAAACATCCCTATCTTCCTGTTTAGCTTGATTCCGTCGCTGATGTTCGCCGCATACAACGCGGCCCCCAAGGTGATAGCTTCGTCCGCATCGAGATGTCTCTCGAGAGGCTTCTTTCCCAGAGCCTGAGCGAGGACCTGTTGCAGCTTCGGCACGCGAGTCCCACCACCTAGAAGCTCCACAGCGTAGAGTTGCTCGGAAGTCATTCCAACGTCCTCTAAAACCTTCTGCAACGGTATGACAGCCCGCTCCCACAGATCACTACACAGCTCCTCAAATGCCTGCCTCGTGATGTGGCTCTTAAAGTCCTGATCGTCGTGGAGGGAGTCCACAAAGAAGCTCGCTTCAGTGTTGGCACTCAGAATCTCCTTTGCACGCTTGGCCTGCTTCTTCAACTTGGCCACGGCCTTGGGAAACGCCCTCACGTCCACGCCCGTCTTCTTCTCAAACTCCTTCGCAAAGTGCTCCACCAGCCGCAGTTCCAAGTTCTGGCCGCCAATCTCCGCGTCCCACCTGATGCCTTTGAGCTCGAAGTAGTTGTGTGATACATTCTTCCCATACTCCTTCGCAGAGTACGAGGAGAAGAGAACCACCGCAGCGAAAGCACTGTTGGCTCCCATGTCGTAGAAGAGAACGTATCTGGGCTCGGTCGAGAAATCCTTGTCAATACCATACTGGAGGGCCGCTGCAGCGTGCTCGTTCATGAGAGACAAGACGTTGATCCCAGCAGCCTGGGCTGCTGCTATCACTGCTTGTCTCTCGGACTGACCAAAGTAAGGTGGCACAGTGATGACCGCGTCCTTCACGGTAGCCTTGACGTTAGCCTCGGCCAATCCACGGCAGTAGCCAAGTATCATCCCCAGAAGCTCCTCTAATCTATATAGTTCCTGGCTATCTACACGAATGCTTGTTACCTGGGGACTCTCTTCTACAAAATCGTAGGGAAGATAGCTGGCGCTCGCGATTCTCTTGACTGATTCGCTGGGCTTCCCAACCATGTCCCTGACCCTGGAATAAACTCTCTCCGGAAACCTGGCCGCGATGCCCATGGCCTCCTCGGCCAGGAGCCGGTTCCCGCCAGAGAATGCCACCACGGACGAAGATTTCCTCTTGGACATCTCATTGAGCGCTACACCGATCGGGCTCTGCCCGGGCTTCACGTCCACAACCGCGACCTTCATCCATTCCGCGCCAAGATCCACGCTAAACACGGCCGCCTGGACGATCGCGAGCGTGGAGAAGAGGAGGAGGAGCGCGGGCAGCACCAGATTCCTCATGGCGCGCATCGATCGATCGAGCTCCTTAGGGCGAAGACTGCAGGCCTGCTTCAGAGAAAGCCGATCCCGGTGCGATCAAGCATCATCCGGCGGGCGCCACGATCAAAGCGCTCCAGCTTCCTCCCAGCAGTCCCTGGAACCCTCGATCTGTCCAAGACGAGACCTAAATATTTCCCCATGGGCGGCTATGACGTGGTTTGCGCGGTTAACAGCCGTTGGATCACGCACGGACGGTAAGGATAGAAAGTGTTCGTCGGTAAATTTTAGGGCTCTTGCTCTGGAGTATACTAGAGATTAAAAGTGGAATGGCTCTGGACTATACTAGAGATCGCGAGTTTAAAAGTGCAATGGGACTATATTAGAGATGAAGGAAGCGATCGAAAGCATAGAACCAAGCTTACACTTTTCTTTATTACAAAACCTTGCGTATAGAAACTGCGGAAGAAATCATCCGCGATGAAGAACAACGAAGGAAACAAAAGAAAACGAAGACAACACCTGCGCGATCGTAGAGAATTCTCGGCTCTCAAAAAACTCATCGTGCCGGCTGTTGATTGTAGTGATGCTTCTCCTTCTTCTTGGCGGCGGCGAGCTTCACGGCCCTGGCGGCGGCCTCGGCAGCGGCGGCCTTGGCAGCCATGTCGCCGTCTTTGCCCGACTTCTTCTTCTTCATCGAGGCCAGCCTCTTGACAATCTCCTTTGGATCCTGGACCTGGCCATCCGCGGCCATCGCCGCCACCACCGCCGCCTCTTCCTTAGCACTGCTTGCCTCGGCATCCGGCGTTGGGGGCACGTCTCCCTCCTTGAAAGACTTCTCCTTCTTCGGCTTCTTCTTCTTCGCGGACTTGCTCGCCTCCTTGGAGGCCTCCCCCGTCTCTTCGCTCGCCTCCACGGCCTTGGCCTCGTCAAGCGGCTCCAGAGCTTCTGCAAATCGACGTAAGATCAGTAACAAAGACGTAGAAAAAAATCGCGGCTTTGATCACTTACTTGTTTCGTTGGGAATGCCGAGCTCGGCTAGAACGGCGTCCAGCTCCGCGAGTTCCTTCTTCTTGAGCTCCTTCTTGGAGAGCTGCCGGTCGGGCTCGCGCGCCACGGCTGCAGCAGCTGAGGCTTTGGAAGCAGACTCCGCTGCGGGAGCTTCCTCCGAGGCCTCATTCTCCGCCTCCTCGTCCTCTGGCTCCTCTTCTATATCCTCATCACCCTCACTTTCCTAAGCTAAACATGGAAAAAGAATTCATCAAACCAGCGAAGCCGAAAAACTGATGTTTAGAACTTTGTTCATACCTCGAGGAGCTCCTTCTCCTCCTTGCTGTGCTGTTGCTGCTGCTGCTGCTGGACTTGCCATGTCGGTGGCAGCGGCGCGGTAGTCTCGTAGTAGTCGTCATCGTCGTCCTCCACATCCGCCCACGACTTGACGGTCACAGGCACGGGAGCCCAGACCTGCTGGGCCGGCGGCTCCTCCTTCCTCTCGCTCTTGCCCGAAGCCGCCTCCTTGTCCGATTTCTTCTTGCGACGGCGGCTCTCGAGTGCTGCAAACGTGTTCTGGCTGATTCCACCTCCAACCATCCTCAGATTTTTCCCCTCTTTGTCGCAAATTGCCCTCGCCCAAGCTGGAAGAAGAAGGATTTCCCTGGCCGCGGCGGCGCAGCCCCGAGAAAAAGAAGATTTCTTGGTACTACCTTGGAAGGGAGCGCTGGGCAGATCCAGCAGCCGCGACTGGAGCAACCTTAGGGCAAGGCCTGGCAGAAGAAAACAACGCTTGCCCGTACCACCCTCTGGGCCATGGCCACTTCCGTACCTCTCATGCGCTCGCATGTAGCACGCTCGCCAAAAGGACGTAAGAGGAGCCCTTGCCGGCGTTGAGACCCGCGACCCTAGCCGCCGCTCGAGCCCCCAGCTCGATCTCGCTGTGGACTCTCGACGATCCCAGCAGTGCCATCCAGCCGGGGAGGAGATCCTCGACCGCATTTTCGCTGCTCGGGGTGTCGATCATCAGCCCCTCGGCTTCTAGCAGCTGCCCGGCGCGCCCCAGCATCGCGATGACACAGCTGACGTGAGATTTCGAGGGCGCGATGCCGTGGTCGCTGCTCATCCGATCCAGGAAGTAGCGCGCCTGGATCAGCATCCCTGCGTGGCTGCATGCCGAGAGGATCGTCAGGAATGCGACGCTGTCGAGCTCAATCCCTTCCAGGATCAGCGCCTGGAAGAGCTCCATCGCAGCGTCGCCAAGTCCCTTCTGCGCGAATGCTGCCACGATCGCCGTCCAGCAAAACACATCCGGATCTGGTACGCTGTGGAATGCCTCGAGCGCGGATTCGAGATGTCCCAGCTTCGCGTAGGCCGCGATGATGCTGCTCCACGAGAACTGGTTCCTCTGGGGAATCCTATCGAAGAATTTCTTGGCGAGAGAGAGATTTCCTGCGTGCGAGTATCCTGCGATGAGCATCGTCCACGCCACGATCTCCCTACCTGGCATCCGATCGAAGAGAGCCTTGGCCTCGTCGATCTCCCCCCGCTGGATCGAGGCGGCCATCAAAATATTCCAGGACACCGTGCTCTTGACCGGCATTCGATGGAAGATCTCCAGGGCCTCGCAGAATCGATCGCGCTGTGCCAGGCAATGCATCACGGCATTGCTCGCGATCACGCTGAATGCCGGCATCCGATCGAGCATTGCCTGTGCGTGATCGAGATCACCGCTCCCCGCGTAGCCCTGGACCATAGCGCTCCAAGAAACCCCATCCCTAGCTGGCATTCTTTCAAAAAGTTCCCGCGCCGCTGCCACATCACCGCCACGCTGCGCATACGTGTCCACCATCTCCGTCCAGCTCACCACGTCGTGCTGGGGCATCTTCTCAAAGAGAATCCTTGCGTCTTGGATATACCCTTTCTTGGCATTTGCCGTTATCATGCTCGTCCAGCCCACCACGTTTCTCTCGGGCATACTTTCAAACCATTTCTTTGCCTCGTGAAACATCTCCTTCACGTTAAAGGCCGCCAGCATTGCACTCCACGTCACGACGCTCCAGCTGGGCATTAGCCAGAATATCCTCCTCGCATCCTCCAAATCCCCGTTACGGGCATATACCGTCAGGAGGGAGTTCCACACCACGTAAGTTCTCTCCAGCATCGCGTCAAACACCTCCCTCGCGTGCCTCCAATGCCCGTTCCGGGAATATGCCAGCATCACCGCGCTCAAGGAGAAAGAATTTGGACACTGGATCTCGTCAAAGGCTCTCTTTGCGTCCTCTACGCTCGAGCATCGGCCATACATTTCGACTGTGAGATTAGCGAGGACGATCCGTCCCCTGTACTCGCTGCTGGCGATGAGAGCGTGGATCTTTCTCGCGGCTGCGAGATCTCCACAGCTTTTAAGAAGGCGAACAAAGTTCTCGTACTCCATTAGACCCCGGAGGAAACTTACACGGTCCCATATTTGCTACTATCAGAAGTTCTCGTGGGTCTCGAGGGTGCTGTGCTCGACGCGTCCTCAGCTGGGCGATAGCCATCAGAGCGAGCTTGACCGGATGCCTAACATGAAAAGTGAAAGCGATGAGCTGTGATATAGAAAAGAAGGAAAAGCTGGCTTACGGAGTCGAGGTAGCGAGCAAGAGTTGTCACTCCGGGAAGTGCGTCGAAGCCATGCTGATGATTCAAGGCAACAAAAACTGTGAGTGTTTGGCAATTGATCATCCTCAATACCTTGTGCTCAACTCGAGTGTTGTAGCAGAAGCCACCGCAACAGCAGCAGCCCAACACGAGTATGACGCTACAAAAACACGAAGAACGGATTAGAAGCTGTGGAAATCCAGAGACGGGTATACGCTACGTACACCAGACAGATTACTCCGAAAGTCGCCCAGCCGCTTGAGCCGCCATCCTGGGATTTTTGCTTGTGTTCTGCGAGCAATTCATTACGTGTGATGGATTTCAGCTATAAAACTTCTTACCACACTCTTTTCCCAAGTTGAACACGACCGGATTGAAACCATCTGCCGGGACGCTCACAGTGACGACGTAAGGACCTCCGGTAGGCTTATCACCTGAAGAGAATTATAGATAGAATAAAATCACAAGACAAGCGATGACATACACTGCCAGTCCACGCTTAAAACAGTAGGAGATTCTGTTGTTGGCGATTCGCCCTCTGCAGCAGAACCAGCCAATTGTACTGTTAGTCCTTTGCTTGGTTTCACCTGCAGACAGAGATCTTGGTTGTGGATTGAAGATATGTGAAAAAATCTTACCGTGAAAGACGGTTTCTTAACGAATCTGGACAGTGCTGTAGGTGCTGTAAAATATAGGGACACAGCTCTCTGTTCTGTGGAAAAGCTGAAATCGAAGATTCCATTAGCTAAAAGACGGCAATAAAAAGATCCAATCCACCTGTAATCCGAGTGAAACTTGTCATAGCCCCACTGTGTGATGCCGTTTTCAACCTGCGAACACGAAAATATGTGTCACCACGACAAAGTAGCTTGTTGGACGTACTATTTCTCTCCCACGCGGACTGAATCCCACTGTGAAGCCTTTGATCACGCGAGGACCGCCTTCGCTGCATTTGACAGCCGCAACGATTTTTGAGCTGCATCGAATAGTATTTTTTTGGTGAAACTTTGAGATTTGATTCTACGAGATCGGAAAGAATACCTGCAACTTGATTGAGTTGAAGTCACATTGCAAATGCATCCAAAGGAGTCTGAAAGTAGATACCACGTCAATTGAAATGAAAACAAAGAAATCAAGCACACAATACCTGTACACGACGTGCCATCGCAGCGTCCACAACTGACTGACACCTGAAAGTTCTCTGAGCTGAATAAAAGTATAGAGAAAACGAAATGTCCTTTTACCTCGGAGTTCCGGCCACTCAAGTCGAAACCATTGTTTTCACAGCCTTGCAAATCACCTTGGTTGTAGTGCTACAGAATCCAATCCTTAGTGATCCCATATAATCTGATAAAAATGATCCAGACTTACTTGCACAAAATTTCCATTCTCACTGGTCGAGAGAAGAGGAACAAAACGACCATAGTTTACATATCCCTGAATGAATCGAAAGCTAGCTCAATCGAACAAAAAGAAAAACAAAGAGAGTACCTTGTTTGATCTCAGCTGAACGTCTTTACAAAATCGCAGTACAAAATCTCCATTCTGAACAAAAGAATTTAAACGTAAATTCAAGGAAAGAGAAGCATTGCAGTCATTCTACTCACGTTGCTGGAGTGCTCGAACTGATGCCCAATCCATTGTGTCTGGGAGAAAACGTTAAGTAAAATGCTCACGGACAAACCACGAACAATCGAAGGATACAAAATCGTGGAGGCGGTAATTCCCGTCGAGAGCGTAGCATTTGGAGCTCGGCGGCACGAATGCGCGAGACAGAGAGAAGGAGAATGCGACGAGCAGCAGCACAGCATCGATCGATCGAGCGCTCCACATCCTTCTGCGCGGGGCAAAAACCCTAACACCATGCCACCTGGCCGTTGATTTCCTTACATCCAACGGTTTTAATCGTGCCAACGTGGCAGTTCTTATTCGGTCTCTCATTTTGTAGGGCTTGGGAGTGCCGTGAACGCCGATGCTACAGATCTAGGCCCATCGTTGTCCGCGCGCCGCCGTGCTAGGGCTTGAGTGATCGAGCACAAGGATGTCTACGCCGGCGAGGAAGCGCCTGATGCGAGATTTCAAGCGCCTACAGCATGATCCTCCGGCAGGCATCAGCGGCGCTCCACAGGACAACAATATCATGTTGTGGAATGCTGTGATCTTCGGGTGAGTTCTCGCGAAACCTTTCTTAGGGTTTTTGAATGTCGGTTCTTTCTTACAGGCCTGACGACACGCCATGGGATGGAGGTGAGCCAAAACTCCTCTTTTTCCTTCTTGTGATAGAATTTTTTTTCGTTGTCAGGTACGTTCAAGCTTACGTTACAGTTCACGGAGGACTATCCCAACAAACCGCCAAATGTCCGGTTTGTGTCGAAGATGTTCCATCCCAACAGTAAGTTCGTTTATTCGTAGTGTCTATCTTCCTTACGCGCTCTCGCAGTTTATGCCGATGGAAGCATTTGTCTCGACATCCTCCAAAATCAGTGGAGCCCGATCTATGATGTTGCCGCAATACTGACATCGATCCAGGTTTGCTTGCAAGTGTTGAGCTGCGAACACTGACTCCAAGTTTTTCTTTTCGTTCTTCTTGTTCTTCCAGTCTTTGCTATGCGATCCCAACCCAAACTCTCCTGCTAACTCCGAGGCGGCGCGCATGTACAACGAGAACAGGAGAGAGTATAACAAGAAAGTTCGAGCAGTCGTGGAACAAAGCTGGACGGCAAATGACTAGACTGCGTGGCTGGCTACTGAAAATGCTGGTATGCGATTTCTAGCAATCCTGGGCGGATCTCTACTAACCAGCAGCAGCTTTGTATATGTCGGTGCCCGGACTTCTTTTTTTTCTTCTTCTAGGTGATTTGATAGAGGGCGAAAGGTTCAGCTGTTATTGGTGGGTTGATTCTAGAGCATTGTTGCAGAGTTTTCTCCCTGTTTTCTTATCTAGACATTAAAAGCAGTGGCAATTTCTTCGCCAATTGCGTACTGAGAAGGAGCACAGCTTTTCTCAAGCTCGTAGCCACCAGCACTCTCGGCAGGAGCGCTACCAGTCGGAAGAAGAGCAAGAACACGCCGAGCGGTGGCATCCACACTGGAACAAAAAAAAAGGAGAAAGAAAAGAGAACTTTTTTCAAGTTTTTTCTCCTTGAATTCGATCGATCTCTTACCCGGTAGCCAGATGCGGGATCTTGCAGCTGGAAGTAGAGAAATGGTCGTGAGAAGGAAAACAAAACTTCTTTCAAGCTACTTACGTGCAATTCCCAGCGCACTTACATCCGGTAGAGCAAATGCAAGACGAGGAAAACATAGCGATCAGGAGGAGCGAGGAAAGAGTGGAGAAGAATTTGGGCCTTCGTTTTAACACGACAAAACCCCGCGAAATTCTATCTTGTCTCGTACAAATCAAACAAAGGAAGAATATCCCCCTCTTTAGAAAATAGAAGCTCGGAGCCTAGGGCAAATCGATGATGGCGACGCTGGGGCTGTGGCATTCTCCTGTTTCGTCCCGGATTCTCCTCCAGCAAGGTGAGAGCGCTTGGAATTCCGCTCCAGAGCCTCGATCGACTGGATTTGGTTTTGGTCAGGGAGAAGAGGCTGTGTGAAATTGTGGTCAAGGAATTTCATGGCGCATGCGCGGCTCATCAGAGCTTCTACTGTATCGCATTACTCGGAGGTATTCTCTTTCCGCGAGTTTTCTTTGATTTTTATTTCGTTCTCTGCGGCAATTGAGGAAGAATTTGGTTACGTTGCCAGACGTTTTATGCAGATGCTGGCATTGATCGTGCTACCGAGCTCCGCCTAGACTCAAAGTTTATTTCACAAGCTTATGCCGATCCAAAAGCACTGGTACGAAAGTTTACTACCTAGTTCTTGCTTCTTGTTTCATTCTTCTCTCTTGCAGGCCGTGCCAGTTCAGGGAAACAAGAATTTTGTCAAGTGTGATCAAGCTCTTTTTTTCTCTCCAGATAAGTTGGACTCAGACAAACGAATTTTCCTGGGATTGACGATCCCGGATCGGTTGCCGGTTTTTGCCGTCGATGTGAAACAGTCCTCGTAAGATGGTGGTCTTTGCTCATGAATGTGTTCTTACATTTGTGATGGATTTTCTAGCAGTGACTGGCAGACGGAGGGACAATGGGTGGATCTCCGGAGATATGGTCCCGAGCTGCGAGCTTCTCACGCAGGACTTCTTGCCTACGCTCGTGGAATGGTGGAGTGGAACTCGAGAAATGTAAGCACTTTACTTATGTCTGAGAAACTATCTTCGATTTATCCTTTTTTGCTGCTTTGATTTGTGGCAGAGGTTTTGTGGATTGTGCGGTTCTAGGATGATCTCCCATCACGCTGGTCACTGTCTGAAGTGCTCGTTGCAGTCATGCCAGAACTCGATATATCCACGCCTGGTATAAAACACGTTCTGCGTGTTAAGCTTTCATGGTAGCTTTCCTTGATTTGTGCCCTGCAGTTTTGAGTTGAGAACTTCTTGTGCCAGGATCCAGCCATTATAGTACTTGTTTCGTTTGGCAAGTACATATTACTTGGACGACAGGCGAGTTCTTCTTTCCTTCTCTTCTTGACGTTCGTGTATGTATGTCCTTGCAGAAAAAATGGGAGCAAGGCCGCTACTCCTTGCTTGCAGGATTTGTAGAAGTTGGAGAAACTTTTGAGCAAGCTGTAGTCCGAGAGGTGAAAGAGGAGGCGAATATAGACGTGAATCCGTCGAGTATCAAGTAAGTTTTTGATCCTTTGTCAGCTGGTAAGCAGCTTCTACATTTCAGGTACGTGGCCAATCAACCATGGCCTTTTCCATCTTCCCTGATGGTAGGTTTTGTTGGTGAGGCCAATGGCAAGTTTTTGGAGCCAAAATCGCAGCTCACAGATGATGAAGTACTTGCTGGCGTTCATGATTGTGATACGCTGCCTAAGATTGCTGCAAACTCCAGTGAGCTAGAGGTAAACGAAGTTATAAACTACAACTCTGCAACTTCACCTTGCACCTTGTTTCCTTCTTTTTTCCAGGATGCTAGATGGGTTCACCAAGACTTTCTCAAGGCTGTCCTGATGAACAAATCAACGTGTAACTTCAGCGTTCCTGGAAAGCATGCAATTGCTCGTTTACTGATGGAGAGATGGATAGAGAGTGATACTGAGGACTCCTGGGCAGGAAAGGACGTGCAAACCACCGAAATCGACGAAGGTAGCCTGCATTCTTGTTTCGTTTCACGTTTCTAAATTGTAGTTCATGAACAGGAAAGTTCAAGTATGTACTAATCCGCCTGAAGGATTCCAGTGGCAACCAAAAACTGGTTCGTCCTCTTTCTCTCAATTTCAAAGCACTATAGACTTGAAATCCTCCTACAGGTTGTGAGAGGCAACAAGGAGCTGCCTTTCCACACAGATATACTCGAAGCGTTCCAAAAGGAAGTCGCACCGTTGGGCTTACAGGTATCTCGTGAAGAACAATCGATCGAAATGCAATCTCTTTTTTCTTCCACAGGTGGAGGCGATGGGAGGTGGTAAAATGGAGCACTCTCCAGAGCAACAAGTGATCCATGTTTTCGGCGTCTCTCAAGCTTTTGGCCCCGCAAACCACAAGCTCACGTCAAGCATTCTTTGTCAAAGCTTCCCCCTCTACAAAATTTTCATATCCTCGGACGATGCGTAGGCAGTGAAGTTCATGGCATAAAGTTTTTTAAAGATCTGGGGTTCGATACTGTGGACTTTCCCGCTCTTTATTCAAATTCTAGCGGTCTAGGGTTCTTCGGCAACGCGCGAGGGTTTCTTCTCGGAGGTAGGAATGCGATCCATGGCGAGCTCTTAGTTCTGGTGCTAGGGATTTTCCAGGATCAATGCAGCTGAGGGAGCGCAAGCATGCGGCGCCGACGGCCGAAGCGCCGGCCGAGGAGATCTCGGACGATTCCTCTGCGGATGGAAATATCGTGATGGCCATGAGGCGTGTCGTCCGCCCAGTAAGGAATTCTCGCAAGGTACTCTCTACGCTTCTAAACGGTCGGGAAGATAGTGATAGTGATGTGTTCGTCCAGTCCACACCGGCTTTAATAAGGAAGCAGCGATCAGCTAGAGAAACTCGGGATGTGGGGAAAGTTGATTACAAGGACGCCTCGTCGTCTTCGTCGAGCGAGGATGAAGTGGAAGATGACATCGCTGTACCAGATTTCGACAGTGATCTCTACGTTCCGGATTCGAATAGTGATGGTGATGGTAAAGCCGAGAAGGATACGAGGAATGCCGGGAGGAAAGATAAGAACAAAGTAGCAAATGGTCGGGCGGCAAATGGTTGGGTTCAGGTGAAGAAGGAACCATCGGCTGGAGTGACAGATTCCGGAAGGCCAAGAAGAGCTTGCACTGCTGCTAAACTTGCTGGGAAAGGGACTGCCAAAGGAACGCTGCAAAAGTACTGGTGTAAGAAGGTGATTTCGTCGGCGAGTGGCACCGATGATAGCGCAAGCAGTGAGTCGGAAGATGGGACCGAGCAAGCAGTGCGGTCGCCTCGTTATGCGGTTACCATGCATGGATTGGAAGTTGAAGGAGCTTTTCGGCCGGTTGCCAAGGTACTCAAGCAAGCCGAGAAGATACTGGCGGTGAGAAACCGATCAAGCGGTGCTGCGGTGTATTGCGTCAAGGAGTATGGCAGAAGCTACAGGAATGCCGTGAACGTCACAGAGGCGGTGTTGCAAAAGTACTCCCCTCAACTCCTGCGGAGCTTCCACAAGCGTTTAGATGCGCTTGGAAGAGTTGATGGACATCTGGGGACTGTTGAAAGTGGTCCTGCCTTTGATCCGCAGTACCTCATCGTCGACAGGGTGGTAGCACTTGAGCAGCGCGGGAGAACAAAGAAAGTCTACGTCAAGTGGAAAGGTCTCCCATACACAGATGCGACCTGGGAAATCGAAGAGTCCATGGCGGCAGAGAAAGCAGCTCTCGCTAAATTCAGAGCATTTGGTCCATCTTCAAAGCCTCGCAATATATCTACAGGCTTCAAAGATGGACGTGCACTGCGTGAGTATCAGAAGGACGGGGTGGCATGGCTGGATCGGAACTTCCACCTTAAGGTGAACTGCATTCTTGCCGATGAAATGGGACTGGGGAAAACTATACAGGTAAGTCTTTTCATTTCGTTTCTCACAATGCTAAATCCTATGCTTACAGTCTGTTGCGATGCTGGAGAACTTGCGTTACAAGAAAAGGATTGAGGGACCATTCCTGATTGTCGCGCCTGTATCAACGCTCGGTCACTGGCAAAGAGAAATCGAATCGCTGACCGATATGAATTGTGTCGTTTACATGGGAAGCCAGGAGGATCGTGCTATAATTCAACAGTACGAGTTCTGGAGTACACGAGGAAATCCGAAATTTACTGTAAGAAAATTGTTCTCACTTTAAGCTGGTAAAACTGATAATTTTGTTTCTAGGTTCTTTTGAGCAGTTTTGAAATCATAATGAAAGACCGAAGCTTTCTTGCGAAAGTGTCGTGGCAGTACGTGGTTGTTGACGAAGCCCACCGGTACAGGCTAGCTAAATCTTTTTACTTTGACAGTTTATGTTGCTGTTTCAGGTTGAAGTCTAAAGAATCCAAGACTGCGCATGCTCTCGGGTGTATGGATGTCAGACAAGGAGGCCTTCTTCTTTTGACCGGCACACCCATCCAAAACAACACTAAAGAGCTCTTGTAAGTTGCGTTGAAATGCGAATGTTTGTTCTGACGTTTCTGAAATTTACTTTTGAGCAGTAGCCTTTTAAGCTTCCTTGATCCAGATAAATTTGACTCGGAAGAGAGCTTTATGAACAAATATGGAAGTATCAAAGATATTGAACAGGTATCTCTTCAATGGTCATGTAAACTACTTCGTTCTAAGATACCACAATGCAGGTGAAAGATCTTCAAGAAAATGTTTTGCGGCCTAGGCTCTTGCGTCGCATGAAGGAAGACGTGGAGAAGAGCATTCCGTTAAAGGAAGAGGTACGAACTGTATGGCGATTGTTATTCATGTCTAAAGTTTTATGTTCTTCAGACTATTATTTGGGTGGAACTGACCAAAGGTCAACGAGCGTACTACAGGGCGCTTTACGAGAATAGAATATCTGATTTAATTAAAGGGACTCAACCTAGTAATATGCCGAACCTGCGGAATATGGTACCGTTCTCCATGAAATTTGTCTAATTCCGATACGCTCTTTCAGGCTATGGAACTTCGCAAGCTTTGTAATCACCCGTTCCTATGTGATGGGCTTGAAGAGGATTTTGCTTCCAAGCATGCAAATGTGAGGTTCTTCTATTGCTCTTTACTTGTCTCATCCCTTAATTTTGAAGGCCTCGAGTGTTTCGAATCTGGTTCAAAGTTCTGGGAAAATGGTTCTTTTGAACAAACTTCTGCCAATGTTGCGAGATTCAAATCGCCGCGTTCTCATCTTCTCTCAGGTTTTTATCCTGGAGCTTCTATAGTTTGACTTGTTTTTGTATTGAATGATAGTTTACAATCATGCTGGATATTCTAGAAGATTATCTCTCTTCTGAAGGGTACACGTTTGAGAGGATTGACGGGAAGATTCGGGGTTCCGAACGACAGGTAAGATCTTGAACAATTGCTTTCAGCATCCTTAACTGGGACCTGTTCAAGCAGGCAGCTATCGATCGGTATTCTGCGAACGATTGTAAGACCTTTGCCTTTTTATTGAGCACTCGCGCTGGGGGGTTGGGGATCACTCTCACAGCTGTAAGTCAGCCTTTTTCTTGCTGATTCAAAATAAACATTTGCGGTTTTTTGTAGGCGGATACATGCATAATTTATGATTCAGACTGGAATCCTCAAAATGATCTTCAAGCGATGGCACGGTGTCACAGGTACTCCTAACGTTAAACCTTTGCTAAGTCATCCATGTTGTTATTGTAGAATCGGTCAAACGAAAGACGTCAGGATTTATCGTTTGATAACACGAAACACCTACGAGCAACACTTGTTCGAGTGTTCTTCACGGAAGTATGGGCTGGACGAGGCTGTATTGGGGAGATTCGCAGAGGACCAACCTGATTTTACTAAAAACATCGAGAGCCTTTTAAGGCATGGTGCATATGTTTTGAAGGTATCGTACAAGCTTCGTGTAGCTGCTGCAAGTAAAGTACTTGCAGGAGGACGGGGAGGAGGATGCTGCAGCTTTTCGTGCTGAGGATATAGACCAAATCCTACAACAGAGGACACAGAAAAGAACAATTGGAGGGTGAGAATACAACATTCTTTCGGCTAAAGCATAATGTCTGTCTATTTCAGGCGAGGAAACAATACTTTCTCGGTTGCCACCTTTGTTTCGCTTGACAATGCAACTGCTGATCCTAGTCCGGACTTCAGCAATGTGGGAGCCGAAGAGTTTTGGAAAAATCTTATGCCAGAAGCATGTGAGGTGAAGGAAGATGTAGAAAGCATCAGCCTCGAAGGTCCTCGGAGAAAAAGAGTAAACTACGCGGAAAAGACCGAGAACTCGAGTGATGACGATGACGGTGACAGTAGGAGTGACGACGATCAGAGCAACAGTGATGGAAACCCAAATCGAACCTGGAGTGTTCAAGAAGTGCAACGCGTTGAGCTTTCCATTTTAATGTATGGGACACCTCAGAGTAAGTTGGCCCGCTCTATTTGTTCATACCTTCACTTCAAATTCTTAATGATGCAGGAGACGAGCTGTTTAAAGATCGTGACTCACTGGAAGTAGAAGAAGTTACTCAGGCGATTATTGAGCTGTGCCACTATGCGGTGATGAAAAACGCAAAGCCGGATTCTATCATTGTGCCTCCAGTTTTACCACCCAAGGCTGAGAAAGCCCTCAACTCTCCCGCATTCATGCAACGACTGGAAAAAAATGCCACGAAGTAAGACATTATTTACCGTTACTCTGACTTATGGAATTCCTGCAGGTATTTGGAGATTGTTCGTGAACGTCAAGCTATTGCGAAGGCTCTAAAGCTGGACAACTTATGGCTAGGACTGCCCAGGTACCAGGCACCGAGTTTTCGTTCGTAAGCTTACGTATATTCAGGTCGAAAAAACTTCCTACGTGGTGGGGTGAAGCTGAAGACTTGGATTTGCTAAAAGGCGTGCATATGCATGGACACAAGGCGTTCAAATCAATAAGGTTCCTATAACGTCTATAGTTTGATACTGATTTCACCGTCCATTTTGTTTTTGTTTTTGTGTACTAATTCTTGCAGGGCTGATGCTTCTCTCTGCTTCGCTTCGATGATAGATGAGGTGCGTCTCGCTTTTCTTAGTACTTCAGTGTCTAATAATTTTTTTGCAGTATCCTTCGGACGCCGTCCTCGCGGGACGAGTGAAAAGACTTGTTAGGATACTAGAAGACACGCCAAGTGAGAGGCGAGTTTTCTTCATTCAATCGTAAAACTGTCTGGCTAACGGTCCATTCCAGTAGGAACGCGGAGAAGGCTATAGTCAGTCAAGCGCTCACGAGTGTCCAGGAGTCTCCGGTTTTGAAGCAATCAAACCGGCACAAGCGAATCTTTTCCGAGAGGCCAGATGACATTGAGCCGTGTGCGGACATCATCACTGACTCGTCACCGAGCGCGGACGTTGGTAGCAAGACCTCCAAGAGGATACGTCTCAGTCCTCTTCCGAGGAACGTCGCCAAGGTAACAGTTGCTAAATTTTTATCGATTAATTCACCGTGGAGTGATTGTTCTAGGTGCCGAAGCCAGTAAAAGCTTCCAATCCAAACGAATCCATCGGAGACAAGGTGAGATGGGATGGAAACCATCACAAAGTCGTGTTCTAATGTCTCTCTTTTATTTTCCCTATTTACAGGAGAACAAAGCACCCGTTGTTTCGTCTTCCAAAGCGAGAAAGCGAGTGAGCCCTCCCACTAGTGGCAAGCAGCAGCAATCTCTACTTGGCTATTTTACTCCAAGGAGCGCGAGTCTTAAAAACTAGTAGTTTCTTTGATCTGTATGTCTTAGGTATTTGTTGTTCTCATGAATGCCGGGATACTTGGCTTGGTGGCTCGGAGAAAAAAAAAGCAAAAAATTGCTATCAAAAATTGGATTGGAATATGACTTATAATTAGAGGGGGCTAAGATGGTGCAGGGAATGCAATGCTAGTCATTGATTGAGGGGAAAAAAGGCTTGGAGGGGATGGAGTTCGTCCAAACACAATCACTTTCCTATCGCTGCAAATCGCGCTTGACAAGGCCTGGGAAATCTTTGAGGAGATGCAGAGCTAGTTTGGGAATGGATTGACGTAAAGCTTGATCGATTTTCTGGGGCGCGCGAACCAGAGATCATCAAGCTGGTGGCATGAAAGAGAGCTCGCTAAGAGGTGCAACGTTTAACTTTCTTGCTTTCACTCAGAGTCGTCGCGCTTACTAAACGGGTGCTATTATTAAAACAGAGAACGTGCTCTAACCAACTGAGAATTATTAAAACAGAGAACTTATTTGTTACATTATTGAGTTGCACGTTACCAAAATTTCCACGATAAAAACTATATGTTTTTCTGGATTATTGTTTGATTGGGATCCATGAGCCAAGTTCCATGAAACAACTCACCATTGAGCAAAGCATTGTCACACCCATGGTAACGAGCCGTAATGAAAGACCACTTTAGATGACCAGCAACTGCCATTGGAACATTACATGCAAATTTGAGAAGCTCCGGATTTTTGTCCACCTTTGCCTTGATAATAAGTTTCTGCTGCAAATCCAGAATCGAACCCTCCTCCTGCTTGATCATTTCGCAAACATGATCCACACTCTCCTGAAAAGTGCCACAGCCATCCGCAAGCAAAACAAACACCCAGTTATGGCAAATGGTGCTGCTGTAATACTCCTTGCGAAGTGACAGGAGGTCGTTCACCATGACAATGTGGTCGTCCATGACCTTGACGAGCTTACGGATCTCTCCCAAGTTTACAACCGACTCCTCGAGCTTGATTCCAACGCAGAACTCGGTCATGATGCACGCCATCACCTCCATGAATCCAGTGCGGCGGCGAAGGAGCCGATACTCCTCGCTGCTCGGGATCGTGTTCTTCACCTGGTGTTTGACCTCCTCCTCGACGCCATCCAGGTAGCTTGAGAGGATCTTGCAATAGCGAGTGAATAAAGAACTGGGCATTTTCTTGCGGAGTTCCGCCAAAACTTCCTGGTAGAGCAGCAGCACGAGACAATGATCATGCTCCTCATTGGATGCTTTGTAGATTCCAGTGGTGGCAATGCTCCAGACGATGGATTTGAGGCTGCCATAGGCTTCCCTGGTGCTTGACTCGAGGATGTCATCCACCAAGAAGCACACCCACAAATGCTTCCCTGCCAGGAGGACTCTGTCCCTCTCGCCATTGGGATGCATCAAGCAAGCAAAGATCATGATTCTCGACTGGACGATCTTCTTCTGGGCGCTCTCGTCAGTGATGCCTAACTTGGAAATGAACCATTCATCGAGTTCCTGGCTAAGAGAGGAGGAATCCGGGTGGCAAGCACAGGGGATGTTGTTTGGAAGAAGAGGCAACTCGAAACGAGGGACAATCTTTCCCAAGAGAAACTCCATTCTTAGAACTAAAGGAGGAAATCTTACTTTATTTACATATTTAAAACTCAAGCATTTGGCATTTATAATCAAAGAATCATGTATGTATGTATGCAAAACATACAGTAGACTCCCCTCTACTGCCCCCATCTGACAGCTGTACACAAAGCATGCCATAATGCTTGCTGAGTTGCTATCCTAGAACGGACTATTTCAAACTCCACGTGGGATAATTGTTTTGTGGCATGCTGTAGTTGCCACAGAACGGACTATTTCAAACTCCACGTGGGATAACTGTATTCCCCACGTGGGATAATTGTATCCACATTTGAAGTTTAAAGCTTCATTTCTGGGATTGAACCCAGGTCGCCTTTCTTGCTTTAGTAAGAGGCCTCCGTTTAAACCTCCGTGAGTTTCATTTCTCTCTCCTATGTGGCAGATGCCGCGCTCGTTCCTCTCTTTCCTCTAACATGGCTTGCGCTTATGACATGGTAGGCCCTGATAGCAGAGATGGCACTGGCACAGAGGTGGCAATCGACTGATCGGCGATGGAGTGTCTGGGCCATGTTCTTGATCAGATCGACAGGATTTCCAGCACAGTGCTGGGAATGCTGTCCAAGTGCGAGTGTGTCCGGAGCTTTGTGGGATTTTGCGAGCGGCTCTAGCCAATTCTAGAGCAATTAGATGCTGGCCAGGACGGGGAATTGCCAGTGGCGCTGGCGAACGCGCTGTTTAGCAGGGCCGAGTCGGTTCTAGAGGCTTACAAGGAAACAACGAGGCGATCAAGGAGCTCCTGCGTCTCATGCACGGGTTTGCAGATCATCCCTAGCTCCTCGGGAAACAGGAGTTTTTCGTTCTGACCCTCTCCCTCGTGCTGACCAAGACCATGGAGGACGTGACCCAGAGTTTTTGGTTTGCTATGCTGTGTAGCTCTAGCGGAGGATAGAAGACCAGATGCAACATGCTAGATTCTACGTGTAAGTTTTTTTTCTCCATCTTCGGTTTGTTTATGGATCTTGTCTCTGTCTAGATGACTAATGTTGAGAAAAGCTCTCTTGAAGAACACAAAGTGGATCTGGCTCCAATCCAAACTACTTGCTTTCCAACGAGGGAGACGATCGGTGAATCTTTGGAGGTTTCGTGACCAAGTTGAGCGGTGCTGTTGTCTCCAAAGGCATATCATTCTCTGCCAAAACGAATCTGGGGTTAATATACAATCACATGCTCCAATCGTTCATCATATGGTACCGAAGCAACAATCAGTTAAACAGTCTAACTATTAATTTCTCTTGACCTCAAAATGGGGAAACTCTGGCAATAGATTCTGATGCTCTGCCCAAACTTCTTCAAGCTTGATTTGAGTGCCGACTGCAAAGCGGATGTTCGGCTGTAGAAACTGGATCATTCTGCCTTGCAAAGCCGGTGAGATGAAGCGGTTCACTGGGTTCACTCCAGAGGCTGCAATCGTCTTTAGAAATGGCACGGTACATAGTAGCATTCATGGCTTTGTTTGTGCAAAATATTTGTGGATTTGCTTTTATATCTAGAGTGGATTTCTAACCCTTTGGCTCTATTGTGCAATTTAGATTTGCACAAATCCTAGGAAGTATCATGTTTGTCTGTGACTAGTTGTGCAGGGTGGCTTCCCAGTGTCGATCGGCATCTGTGGCAGCAAGTGGCACTCAGGTTTAGGGTGCCACAAAAGTGATTCTATCTGTGATGCCAAGCCATTGGTTAGTGATCTAGGATTTGAACTTTTCTTATAAAATAATGCAACAAGCAATATGTAAAATGACAAAAAAAAATCCAAAAATATTCCATTAAATGTAATGTGGGGTGGTAAAATTTTGGCTACCAAAAAGGGATATCATTAATTTGTAATTTTACTTTGTGAGTGCATGGAATATAAAAAGGGAATATAGAAAATGTGTATATTAATTAGCCTAAAAACCCTAGCTTATATACAAGAGCAAGTCACTATATTAATACTAGTATACAATATCATATTTGTACACTTGGACTTTACATCATCCCCTCCTCTTGGAATAATAAAAAACCATTAAAGTTCTCTTGTAGATAGGGTGGGATCTGGAGGAATGTTAGGAAGAGACATTGGTTAGTCTATAAGTGGTATCAATTGTTTTTGATCCTTTTGTACGAAGTGTTTTAACTACTATACATGCACAATTTCTGAAGGATTGGCCTGCTAGATATTATGTTGATCATTATAAACTTGTAGTTCAACTTGCCGCAACACTCAATATAATCTTTTTTATTAAGCAAGGAGCCCCTTAAATAAACCACATACTGTAAAATGGGGAAAATGGACTAACACCAAATCATCCATTTTGTAATTCACAGATGGATGATGATGAGAGTTATAGTGCCATTGTTGTCCCATTTGTACACGGTTTAAGTGTTTGGCAGACTTTGCTCGAACAAGTGGAAGAATGCTCATTAAATACTAATCCAATGACCTAGTATTGACAACTCGTGGCAATTGCGAAAGTAAACTCAGCTCTATTGGTAATATTGAATCATGACTATATAGGAATTTATATGGTGAAGCACCAACAGAACTCTGAACCCCTATGACATATGTATACCGAAGAAACAACAAATAACTATCCCAATCCAAATGCTAAAAGTTCATATACTTTATGATCATTCCTTTGAATGTTCGAATGAGCTGTTCCATCAAATTGTTTGAATGTGGATGATAAACACTCGTGAAAGTGTGGCATATCCCAATCGAGATGTCAAAACATGAAATGCCTCAACCATAAATGTTGGACCATTATCTAAAAGAATCTACTCCGGATAAGAATGTTGAAACACCACTCAATTGAGGAGGAAGTATCCAAAAATAGTTGCAGAGACATTAATAAGAGCACCAATTTTCACCCAATGAATCAAATAATCAAAAGCAATAATAATATATTCATTGCCACTAGTCGACCGTGAAAAAGGTCCCATAAGCTCAAACACCACCAACTCCAACAAACAGGAAATTGCAATTGACTCTAACCGTCCTTCCGCAACACGAGGGGGAGTATTATAAACTTGGCACCAAATGTAGTTACACATATACTAGATAATATTATGTTGCATCTTTAGCTAATAGAAAGACCTGCACAGCTTCTTGGTCACATGATGATGTTTTATATGCCCATTTAGAACAGGAGAATCATGGTAAGCATGGAAAAACCGTGGAATAAAGACAAAAGGCACCACTAGTTATAAATAATCATCAGGATTTGTCCTCACAAAATAAAGAAGGCCATTTTTAAGGTGATATTAAGAATGTAAATGCCAAAATGGCAAGTCATTAGCAAGTGATGTAGGATTCTCAAACCCATTTTGAGGCCTTCGAATCTATGGCTCAATCTTTTGAGCCTTGCGAACCTTATCAAGAGAAGGTAAATCTTTCTTTGCACCTTGTGGATATTAAACATCAAGTATAACAATTGCTGACGGCACAAAATCCTCATCTAGAAAATCCACAGATGCTAAAATAACAAGCTCGTTAGAAAGATGAAAA